TAATAAGCCTATAAGATAATTAGAAGGCAATTTTAACCCGTTAGAAGTAAGTACTTTTGTTCCTATTTTATGTGGTGCATGTGAATTTCATTGGACTGCATACACTTTATGTGTCTGTAGTTCATACAGAGAGTGAGACAGAGCAGAGGTTTCCACACTTGCTGGTTAAATACTTATATTCTGAATAGATGACAACTCGCCCTCATATTTTGGCTGGTGGGCTACTTTGGTGCAGCTGGGACCCTCATTCTCTCATTCTCCATCTCCGGGTAAGCTCAGGGGAGGGCAGGGAGGTTCCAGTGTAGGTCCTGCATGAACTAGGGCAATGATGAGTTCCAGAGGCCCAGGTCCTGTCCCATGTCCATAAGCCTAAGCTTTTATTAACTCTCTAGGTGACTCTAATGCACACCAACGCTTGTCTAGGTCATCCTGACCCTGGGAATCTCCCTCAAAATCAGTTAAAACTGATTTACTTTCAGCTGTTTCTTTCTTTTTCTTCTTTTTTTTTTTTTAAAAAAAATATATATTTTATTGATTTTTAACAGAGAGAAAGGGAGAGAGATAGAGAGCTAGAAACGTCGATGAGAGAGAAACATGGACCAGCTGCCTCTTGCACACCCCCTACCGGGGATGTGCCCGCAACCAAGGTACATGCCCTTGACCGGAATCGAACCTGGGACCTTTCAGTCTGCAGACGGACGCTCTACCACTGAGCCAAACTGGCTTCGGCTCAGCTGTTTCTTATACCACCAGCCTTACCTCCATTCCCAATGCCAGGTATCCTCTGTCAGCAAATGCGTTGTGTGTGCAAACCGAGTTGCTTTGGGGTAGGGGTGTCGAACTCAATCAGAGAAGGGGCCAAAATCTAAAATCCAGCCTAAATCGCGGGCCGAATGGTTTACTGAACAGTCATAAACTGTCATTGTGATGGAAACGCAGCGGAGTGCAGTGATGACAGCGCGGTGCGGGCCACATTGCAAGGCCTGGCGGGACGGATTTGGCCCGCGGGCCTTGTGTTTGACACATGTGCTTTGGGGGGTTCCTCAATTCCATTTTAGAATTCAGCTTTCTTAGCTGGGATCCACTTCCACACATTTGTCTGCTTACTGACTTCTAGAATTTTGTTGTGTTGTCTTCTATTCCCTTTGTCCTTGTGGAGATTATGTCTTTCATTTTTAAAGTCTCTTCCCTATCATTGTAGTATGGTTTCAAGATGGAAATCTGCCTATCTGTAATCAGAAGCCTATGTCATTTAATTTTTTTGTTTGTTTCTTTTTTGTTATTTAATTATTTAAAAAAAATTTTTATCTTATTGATTTTTTTACAGAGCAGAAAGGGAGAGACAGAAAGTTAGAAACATCAATAAGAGAGAAACATTGATCAGCTGCCTCCTGCACTCTCTCTACTGGGGATGTGCCCGAAACCAAAGTACATGCCCTTGACCATAATCGAACCTGGGACCCTTCAGAGTCTGCAGGCCAATGCTCTATCCACCAAGCCAAACCAGCTAGAGCTGTCATTTAATTCTTAAACCCAGCATCATTTTTTAGATGAGAGGACACTGAAGATCTTCAGAAATGTTGGCACTAATGTTCCTAAATTGCTAATAAATGATTTGTGCCCAGGCAGGTGGACTCTTAATCCCTCTGCCCTACCTCCTCACTATAAAACCAGGACCTAGACATTCTTACAAAAATCTCATAGGTTACAGGTGTGGGAACAGAGACGCTCTAACTTGGAAATTGGCGAGTTCTATCCAAGTCCATTAATATAATGGCTTCGTTGTATGACATGTGAATTAGAAATGGCTGATGAATAATAGATTGTATTAACTGTTTCTCTGAGCCAGAGGCCTTCCAGGAGAATCTTTTGCACATTTCATTTTAGAACAATTAAAATGGCATCAGTTGCAGAAGAGTTCGATTTGTTGTGTGCTTCACAAAAAATAAACAAAAACAAAACAAGAAAGGGGGGACTTTCTTAGAGTGTGGACCTTTTCAAACAGTGGTCCTAAGACTAAAGAGAGGCATGTTGTAATCAAAATTACACTTCATGTGTTGCTACTCCCTACAGTAACCTGGAACTAATGTATCTAAGCGGCCTACTTCCCATTCTTTGAGTTACCAGCCACCTAAAATCATGCCAGGCCAGTTTTCAGTTACAGGAGGACATACTTTCATTGAAATCCAGAGCCCCTTGCCAACACTTTGAGAGGGGTCTGAAATGAGACTTTACCCCTTCCTGGAGCCCTCCAGTGTGTCTTGCATAACTCTTTGCGAGATTTCTGGTTCACTCTTAATTGGTTTGAGCTACAGGCTTTCTGTAGTAACATGACATATCTTTACCAGGTTTCTTTGGTATAACAAATCTTACTGGTATTACATAGATCATAGAAACTAAATCTTTCATTCTCTGGTGCCTTTGAGGACTAAAAAAGAAAGTAAAAGACTTCTTTAAGGCTATGATTCTTCTAAACCACCTCCCTCAGACTCTGAAATTCAAGAAGCGTTGACAGCGTTTGTGTTCGCATCACGACGACTCAGACGACTCAGATGGGACACGGTGCCTGTGTACCCTTGTAAAACTCTACACCATTCATTTTGGACTGACTTTCTTCACACAGAGTCTGTGCTAGATCCTGGATCCACCTACACAAAAGGGTCTCGGTTATGTACAAGGGTCCCAGTTTTATTTCCTCATCTGTCAAATGGAGATGTTACTTAGGACACGTGTTAACTGCAAAAATTAAGTCGGGAAAAATAGAGGTGAATGGAATTATACAGTATGGTTCAGTATTGATCATCCCAAGATATTAATTGAAAAGCATCTTAGGATGGAGGGGGAGAATATCCTGGTAATACATGATGCTGGAAATCAGGAGACAAAGTGACAGCCTTCACCTGTAGTGAGTTGAGAAACCACGTGCAGGCCAGTTTTCTTCTTGGTTATTCTATGAGTGCTGATGTCACCTTCAGAACTTCTGATTGTATGAAAACCTGGGGCTGTGCAGGGGGCAAAAATAGAGGGGAAAATGGAGGAAGGGAACTTTCTAAGTCCAGAAACCACAGACTGGATGTTTTTTCTCTCCCAACATGAGCTTCTCAAATAGGCCTTCTGATGGGTTGGGCCCTGGCCACCCATAACTGCCCACCTAATGGGCACCAGAGGAGGCAATGACCTGCAAATCCAAGGAGCACCGTTCTCTGTAGGCTGGTCGCAGGGTCAGGCGGGGGAACCAGCGAGAACCAGGAACTTAACTCCTTCTCCTGTAATTGCTGTTTACAGTCTGGTGACAGGTTCTTTCCATAACATGTTTAAACCAGGCTTCTCCCAGGTTGTTTCTATTTGCATGTCTCCTTCTGTGCCCTGGGTTTCTGGCATGTCTCCAAGACTTTTTCTTTTTTTTCCACGATGTATGAATTAATGTCACAGTTGGGGGCTGGGAAAGGCATCTCTCTAGAGAATCTCTAAAATCATCTTTAGGATCCTATCTTGCCTTTACTTCATAATTTAAACCTGGAGACCTGCCAATCCCTGACATTGTAATAGGAATTCACCAAATTTATCTTGGTTTTATATATTAGGAATAATTTCTTTTCCCAAAGACCCTCCCTCAGTTTGCCTGCATCTCCTCATTTCTCAGGCCTTTTTATCCCTGTTTCTCATCTAGAAAGATACTTGAACTTGAGGGCGAAAGGGAAATCTTCCAAATTGTATGTGTTACGTACATTATCTATATAAACAATTCCCTCTTAAAAGGTAGTTTACATGGAAAATTACTCTCAGTGCTTAGTTACACATTTTTATATACAGAATTTGAGACACAATGTATAATTTTTATTATCCATTAAAATTCAGAGGTTTTTTTTACATTGTAATTACATGATTTTCCAATGACTGCTAAGTGTTAAAGGATATCTGCTGTCATTTTAAAATGTATATATGTTCCTTCACATGAATCTTATCTATTTTAGTTTTTTAATATATATTTCATTGATTTTTTTTTTTTTTTTTTTAACAGAGAGGAAGGGAGAAAGATAGAGAGTTAGAAACATCGATGAGAGAGAAACATCAATCAGCTGCCTCCTGCACAGCCCCTACTGGGGATGTGCCCGCAACCAAGATACATGCCCTTGACTGGGATCCTTCCGCTCTATCCACTGAGCCAAACCAGTTTCGGCTCTTACCTATTTTAATTACTATGACTTTAGTTCCTCTAGGACCTCAAAGAAAAATAAAATTTCAAATGGGAAGGGTCCTGCTTGATGTATCTCATGAGTTTTGTAAATGTTTTAGAAACACTCTCAGTGCATAAGTCTCCTCTCTAATAAGCAAAGTTTGGGTGTGTTTGTTTTTGAAGCGTGATTGGCTTTTCTCAGAAGGAGGACCCACTGGACCTTGGGATCCTCCTTTCTGCGTCACTCTGAGGTCCAGAGTGTAGACATACACTTCACGATGTGTGGACTGACCTGTATGGACACCTCCACATAGCCCGGCAATGATGGATTCTGGGAGGTATTTAGTCAGTCCTCAGAAGTGTAGCATGTGGAATACCTGGTTGACCTGCGGGGTGTGATTATTTGGCTGCCACAAAATCAAGATTTGCTGTATTATAAGAACCTTAGAATTAAGCTTCCATTTCTGGTTTAATATTTTTTGTGACTTGCACTGTTGGAGAAAGCACTAGCCCACACGTCAAGAGACCTGGGCTCTGGTTGTGACTTCCTACCGACATGTGTGATCTTGTCCAACAAGTTTTCTCAAGATCTGAAAAGGCCCCTAGAGGCCTACAAACTGAGAACCCTCCCTGGTTCTGAGCTGTGCCGTGAGGTGCCTGCAGAGGAAGAACTGGCCAGCGTGATTCCAGGCTATCAGCAGACTGTGCTTTGATCCTAGTACCTCACGTGATACCTAGATTGCTGCTCCTTGAACCTTGAGATAATGTCTCAGAAGGGATTGTGCCAACCTCCCACATCAGCTCTGTGCTCTCTGCATTTCAGATCCCTGGGGCAGGTGATTCGTGTGGCTCTGAGGACTCCAAGGGAAACCTGGAAAGTCCCAAGCAGGGCAACAGTAAGATGAAGCTCAAAAGTCGTCTTTCGGGTAAGTGAGGCTCTTTATCTGATACCATCTTTCTGAAAACCAACTTCTAGCCTAAGGAGTGGGAATATATAGCCATTAGCAGGATGAGCCCTTCTTTTCCTTAAAAATCTCAACATTGACCCTAGCAGGTTTGGCTCAGTGGATAGAGCCTCGACCTGCAGACTGAAAGGTCCCAGGTTCGATTCTGTCAGGGGCACATGCCTGGGTTGTGGGCTTGGTCCAGTGTGCAGGAGGCAGCCAATTAATGATTCCCTCTCATCATTGATGTTTCTCTCTCTCTCTTTCTCTCCATTTCTCTCTGAAATAAAATATATATATATATATATATATATATATATATATATATATATATTTTAAAAACTCAACAATTTTTTTTTACCTTTCTCTTTGTTTAAATTTATTGATTTGAGAGTGGAGGGAGGGAGGGAGAGGGAGAGAGAAAGAGAGTGACACTGATTTTTGTTCCACTTATTTATGCATTTGGTTGATTCTTATATGTGCCCTGACTGGGGATCAGACTCCCAACCTCGTCACATCAGGATGACACTAACCAACTTAGCTCTCCTGCCAGAGCCAAACCTGTGTTTTCTTTCTCTTTTTTTAAATGTATTTTTATTGATTTCAGAGATGGAGAGGGGAGGGAGAGAGAGCTAGAACTCTCAATGGTGAGAGAGAATTATTGATTGCCTGCCACCTGCATGCCCTCTACTGAGATCAAGCCTGCAACCTGGGCATGTGCCCTGACTGAAATCAAACCCAGGACTCTTCAGTCCACAGGTCAACACTCTATCCTCTGAGCCAAACCAGGTAGGGCTTGTTTTTCCTTTAGATACTTCATGTCCCAGGAATAAAACTGCATTCAGCCTGGTTTCCTGCGAGATATTTTGGGTCATAATAAAGTGAATGTCAACATCTCTGTTTGTTTCTGCTTAGATTTAAATTTCCTGTGTGTGATGTGACTTCCATAGGACTTCAGGTGACCCTTTCACTGGAATATTCCTGGTGGCTATTTTTCAGCAAACACACCTCTCCCCCAAGCCCTTGGTCTGCCAGAACCACTAGCAAAGAGCTATTTATATCATATGAAATCTGCATTTCAACTAAGTGGGAGGGGGTGGAGTTGCCGCTTTTGGAACAAGCAGATTTGACTTTTCCTGGGCACATCCTTAGAGCAGCTGGCCTGTGTCCTGAGGGAGAAAGCTAGTGCTGGGACCACATAGCTTCCAGCTTCCGTGGACCCCCGGCACTCTCGCCTTGATGGCTGTTTCCTGTCTTAAAAGTAAACTGAAAATCATGTTTTATGACTGCGTTGGTTTAAAGTTACAAGCCGGACGTGTTAGCTATTCATTACTATTATGTTCTTTTGAATTTAAAAGAAATGAAACCATTTTTATGGGCCCTGAAAGTGGTGTGGACCCTCAGCATTGTGTGTGTGGCCTGATGGAGCAGTTGACCCTGGCTACCCATTGGCACACGGCATCTGGGAGAACAGTAAGAAGGGTCAGAGAGCTGGGCAGAACCAAGTCTGCCCCTCAGCTCTTGTTACCCAGATTACCTAGCCTGGTTATTTAATGTCCCTGAGCTTGCACTTCCCCACCAGAAAAAGGAAGATGATAACACTGATATTGAAAGATTGAGCCAATTTTTAATAATAATAATAATAATAATAATCTCTCTATATAAAAGCCTAAGCAACCAAACAACTGTTTGGCTGGTTGCTATGATGTGCACTGACCACCAGGGCACAGATACTCAATGCACAGGATTGGGCTCCCTCCTGTCTGGACTGGGCCTGTGGAGATCAGGTTGATACTGGCAGTCTGACATCCCCCACGGGTCCCAAATTGCAAGACAGCGCAGGCCAGGCAGAGGGACCTCACCAGTGCACAAATCCATGCACTGGGCCTCTAGTAATAATAAACTCACACAAAAGCAACTAGCAGAAAGCATGTATGTTAGCATCCAAAAAAATCTATTTTCTCTTTCCGCCACTCAAATCTATGCCTGTCAACTAAGAGCACGCCCTCCCCCCCTGCCTGGCTCTCTATTGAGTTGTTCTCTCACCATGAAACACAGCCATATTGTTTTTGGAATGACAAAATGGATTGCTTTGCATTTGTAACTCAGATTAATTAGTCAGGATATATCTGTGAGAGTGTGGATCTGGGACAAGCACAGTGTGATGACCAGAGGCTGGTAAGGTTAAGGAGGGACATGGTGCCAAAGCTCCTCATGTGGAGAGAGAGACCAGCTCCCTCTGGGTCCGAGGAACGACTGCAGGAAATCCTGCGTGTGTTCAGGACGGGAAGCCACCAGGGCAGAGAGGAGATGTGAGGTCAGCTGTCTTGGCAGAGCAGATCAGCACCTTAGAAACCATTCCCAGGGAAGGGCACTGAGCTCTGGGGAAACTATGGGATCTTTGAAACCAGGGCAGTCATGCTCTTCATTTCATGGGTGAGGCCAGAGAAGTGAAGGGGATCCCGAAGGTCACTCATTCAATGCCCACCCCCAGAAGATCCGCTCCAGACCGGTCTTCTAACCCCTATCTTGAAAAGAACCCTGTTCCCCAGTCTGAGGGTTTCTCTGATAGAGATATGAGGAGGGGGTCTCGTCGAGGACCTTCCAGATCCATGGTTCCCTAATTCTGTTTGATATGGTTTGAATGAGCAGCAGACTAACTGAGCAGTAAATCCAGGCCTGGCTGCGCCACAAATGGATGCCACCCTCTCTTTCCGTGTCCTTCCCAGACACTCAAGGCCATGACTGGGCCATGGGGGAAAGTGGAAGGAGCTCTGCCGCTCCTGGCTGTGTGACCTGGGACGGGTGGCTTCACGTCTCTGTTTCTCTGTTTCTTCCTCTATTCTGCCAATCAGTGTGAGTGCCTTCTCGGCGCCAGGCCTTGTGTAAGACTGAGTTGAGGGACTGCATATGGCAGTGCCAGTCCAAGGTGTGGTAGCAGTAGGCCCTCACCATGTGGTAGCTGCCACTGTTGTCTCCATTGTCGTTAATGTCCCATCATCCTTGTCATTATCACTGTTCTCTTTCCCTCTGGAGGGCAGATGCTCTGGGGGGGCTCAGACAGGAAGGTGCTCAAGCATGTGAGGCCAAGGCTGCACAGAAGTGCAAAGCCTGGAAGTCTCTGGGCTATGGCGCTCGAGCATTCAGAGGAGGCAGGATACAGGAGGGCCAGGACCTTGGCAGGGTTTGGTAGAATAGTGGTCTAGATTTGTGAAAAAATGCCCGAGAAATGCTTAGGTTCAATGGGGAAAACTGGTCAGAGAAGGTTTGGGTGATTCATATCTATCTGCAAGATCCAGTAATTCATCAGCCAGGGGTGCAGCCCAGCAGAGCTTGTCAGAGCGATTAGGGGAAAGGAGACGCCTGGGGCGGGAGGTGACGGTGCTGGCGAAGTGGGGGAAAACGTCAAGTGATATTTATGTGCTCCCCAGTTTTGGGAAGGATGCTGGCTTTGGACAGATCCTCTCCTTTGAGAATCAGCAGGCTAGAGCAATGAATTCATGCAGCCAGGTAGTGGGAGATAAGACTGGAAAAGCAATTTGGAAACCTGTTAAAGAGGCTTAAGGAGTTGGGTCTGCATTCAGGGCTGTGAAATATGTTCCATCTTCAGTCATTTGAATACAGAGGTTTTAATGTGATGAGCTCCTCGTTTGTCCTGTAAACGTGGGTATTTATTTCATAGTTCATTAAAAGCGAGTCGCTGTGGTTGTCACATATCAGTGTATTATCTACAGACACTACCGTATGTGGTTTCTCTTCTGTGGATGGCAAGGTCCTCCCTGTCAGCTCCAAAGGAATTTTCTTCTAATAAATCTGTTTCAGATGAGTAAGCATGCCAAGATAGATTAATCTGGTCATGAATTATTAAGGAGGTTCTGTAAAGAGGTTCCAGCCATTTCTACTACGATTTTTGCCCAGTCTGGCTCCAAAAATGACTGAAGCGATTTCATGGAACATTTTTTCCCCTGAAATTCTAACCTGAGTTTTCATTACTTCCTGCCTTCTTTTTTGGCCAGCAGGGTTCCCTTTTAATTTTGGTGTTTTTGATTTATCCATGTTCATGCCTTAGGCTTGTGATCTTTTTAAATGGAAAATTTTCTTTGACTGCAAAGGAATTTCAGGTGTTTGAAGACCTGTATAACAAAGCTAATATTCAGCTTTTGAAAAGCCATGTCTTTAGTGATGTCCATTTTAAAATAACTGTCAGTCCTATTCTGTGTGTGTGTGTGTGTGTGTGTGTGTGTTTTTAATCACTATTAGAAATTCATCAATACATTATTTGAAAAAGAGTACAGGATCAACTTGTTTTATCCCATAAAAAACTTTTAGGTAAATTGAAATTTTAGGTCTTCAAATAAAACATTGCATGGTCTAGGATAGCTTGATATTTCAAAGACTGTATGTGTGTATAGTTATATTCACAGATACACACACACACACACACACACACACAGTGAAGCAATTTTCAACTGGTGTGCTGCAAGAATGTTTAAAACATTCAATATCTATTAGTCAGGGCAACTGACCTCTTTTCCCTTAGATTGTCAAAAAATAACAATAGCTTTTCAATGTGAATGAATCACAGTTATGCTTATTCTTCTGTCAGATCGGCAAAAAATAGATTTTTTTTGTTATGCCACAGAGTTTTAGTAATTAGTTTATATGTGCCATGAAATGAAAAAGGTTGAAAATTGCTGATATCGAGTATAATGTGAACATTGTAATATGATTATGGCTACTATATTCAATGTAATTAAACATGATTTAAGATTTAAGTTCCGTAAATTATCTTATTTTTAAATGGCAAGGGTGTCTTTAAATATGATCACTATAAAAATTTTTAAACAGAACCCAACAGTACTAACCAAAAAGAAAAAAAATCTATTTGTTGTACTGTGCTAATATTATGAACTTTGGTCTATCAAAAAATAAATAAATAACATTAAGAGAGTGAAAAAGCAAGTCACAGACATGAAGAATATATTTACAATAATAGATAGATTCCACGATCTATCCAAATATCCACAATATATTAACAAAGAAAATTAGAAGTCTATACATCAACAACAAAAGAGAAATCCAATTAAAAAATGAGCAAAAGACTTAAACAGGCACTTTACAACTTTTAATTGACTTAAGACTTAAACAGGCACTTTACAACTTTAAGAGAAACGGCCATTGAATATTTAGTCATCAGTGAAATGTAAATTAAAACTACAATGAAATGCCATTCTATATCCACCAGAGTGGCTAAAATTACAAAGACTGCCACCACTAAAATTACAATAATAGTAAAATAAAATAAGATAAATAAGTATATAAAAAATCTGCCACCACCGAGGAAGGCACAGATGTGGAGAAATGAGAATTCACACACCCTGGGGATTCTACATTGATAAGGTACATGTGTACCTGTAACCCAGCAACTCCACTCCTAGATCTGCATTTAACAGACATGACATCTACAAGAATGTTCAATAACAGCATATTCTAGATCAGCGTCAGCAAACTACCATCCACAGCTAGATATATTTGTATAGCCCAGGAGCTAGAAATGCTTCCTACATTTTCAGTGGGTTATTAGAAAGTTTTGTAAATAATAGGCAACAGAGACCATTTGTGGCCTATAAAGCCTAAAACATTGACTATCTAGCCTTTAACAAAAAAATAAAGAAGTTTTCTTATCCTTGTTCTAGACCTAAAAACTGTAAATAAACCAAATGTCCATCAGCAGAAGAATAGATAATAAGTTGTGGTATGTTTATATAAAATGAAATAGCTCACAGAAGTGGGATGGATGATCTCTGAGCATGCAACAGCATGGTGGAATTTCACAAACAAATTCTAAGAATGAGGAGCCATATATACACAAACGTGCATCTTGTATGTGTTCATTTATGAAAAGGTTGAAAACGGGCAAAGGTGATCTATGATGTTAGGAAATAGGTTTAACGGTTACCTTGGGAGAGGGGTGCACAAAAATGGGCTTTGGGGTTCTGGCAAGATTCTGTCTCTTTGTTTGGGTATTGGTTATTGGTACATCCACTTTGTGAAATTTCATGGAACTTTTTACTTATTTGTGTACATTTCTGTAAGCTATAATTCTTTTAATTTTATTTTAAAAGTCATTATTATACATGAAAAAACACCCACCTGCCCAAACAATGGAACTACTAGTATAGCAACCACAAAGTGATAGTCCTCTATCACTAGAAAACCATCTACTCAAGCATCCTCACTGTTGTTTGCCTTACCAACCATGGCTATTTCTTACTTGGATGAAATATATACATTGCCCTTATCTGGTTCTTTAAAAACTGGCGCGTTTTTTTGTTGTTTTTTTTGTTTGTTTGTTTGTTTGTTTTTTTAAATAATCTGCCATCAATGGCCTCGACACATACTGAACTTATGCAGAGCTTGATGGAAAAATGTGGTGAGCTTGGTGCTTTGAAAGAATTGGTCATCAGCCCTTCTGAAAACCATGAGTGTGGATATAAATTCATCAGGTCTGTGCCTATGTATGCTCTTAGGTTCTTTTCACCCCATGTTAAGCCATGTCTTTTTCCCCCCCTGTATTTTCCAGGGGGTGTACACCGTCTGGAGTCCGTTGAAGAATATAATGAGCTGATGGTGCGAAACGGGGACCCCCGGGCCAGGATGTTGGAGGTGTCCCGAGATGGCCGCAAGCACTCTCTACCCCAGCTACTGGAGTCTTCGGGATCACAGGTAGCCAGTGCCATGGAGCCTCTTGCTTTCCCATGCATGCACAGTTGACCAGTCGGGGATGGGAGAGCACACTTCTACCCCTGGGTCTCTAGGCTTTCTTTTATCCTTTCAAAGACAAGCAAATGCATCTCTGTTCTGAAGAACTACTCGTCTACGTGGGCCAGGAGTATTTGGGACTAGAGATATTTGGGAATGAGGCTAGAAGGAAGTCAGCCTAATATTTGAAAACAGTAGATGAAAACAATCCCTTGTTGGATCCTGAAATCTTGATCCCCTTCCTACTATGTGTTTTAGAATCAAGAGCTGTCTTCAGCAAACCACCATCACCGGTTTAGTGGGCATGTCAGGATCAGTTTAACAACTGAGTGGGTGGACGTTGAGTCATGTGAGAGAGAGAAAGGTGTATGTGTGTGTGTATGCCTATGCTGTGCCTGGGATCCTGCCTGTTACACAGTAATGACTCAAATAGCCAGGGTCGGAAGGGGCTGCAGAGAGGGGTGAAGTGTACAGTGATTTTAATATTCCATGGCCTGGCCCCATACGTTAGGGGTGGGGAACCTTTTTTCTGTCAAGGGCCATTGGAATATTTACGTCATTCATGGGCCATATAGAATTATCAACTTAAAAGTTAGCCTGCTGTATGTGGTCAAACATATAATTAACTCTCCCCGTAGCCTTCACAGGGCCAGACCAAACGTTTTTGCAGGCCTTCTATGTCCCACAGGCTGGATGGTCCCCACCCCTGCAAGTATTCGGGGCTCCAGCACCCTGAACGGAGCTCTTCTCAATTACATCATCCTCAACTCAGATGAAACTGGGTAGACATCTCATAATCAAGTTGGAAGAGGACTCAGTCTCTGGGGAACCCGTGGAAGGTTCTTTGAGTCCCATCAGACCAGAAAGTGAAGGAGCCATGTGGTCGGGCTGGTTCACTTAGTGTGAAAATGAGAGGGTTGGCTGCCATCACAGCCAGGGATGTCTAGCCCTGAGATAGTGGCCAGCTGAGGAAACCTGATCATGTTTATAGCCTGCAAATACCTATTTCTAACCAGGCTTCCAGGAACAAGGAGACATGGCTAGTAAAGATTAAGGGAAGAGACTTTTTTAACCTCTTTGAATTGTCCTTTCTCTTGTCTTTTCTTTCTATTCTCTGCCCTTCTCTTTTTCTCTTGGGATTCGAACCTTTCTTTCTTGTTGTTCCCTCTTCCTCTACTTAAAAGTATTGTCTAGAATAGAGCACTTCACTAAGACCTTCTGCGATGATGGGAATGTTTTATGCCTGTACTGCCCTGAACGGTAGCCACAGGTAGATGCTGAGCACATGAAAAGTGGCTGGCAAGACAGGGCTATGTTTTTTTTTAATTTTAATTCATCTTCATTTGAGCATAGACAGCCACAGGTATCTGGTGGCTGCCATACTGGACAGCAAAGGTCTAAAACATACCACAGGTCTCGTTCCCACTAGCTCCCCAAGGGGAGATGGAATGGGTGCTGCTGGAGATGGGTGATCAGAGAGAGTTCCGTACAAATCCACACATGCACGTGTGTACTCAGGGGTTGAAAACCCTCAGTCTGTGTCCGGCCATTTCCTCAGTGGTTTCAATAAGAGGGTGGTAACCTTGCCAAGCCAACATCTTCTTTAAAAATTTTTATTATTGAATCAGACAGAGTCTGGAAGGCCAACATAGTTGCCAGATAGTTTGTAAAACTGCAAAATGTACAAATTGTTCTAAGCTGCCGGGAATACAAAAATGTTAGCCGTCATCTCATTTCTACCTTTGACGGTAGAATACATCCATTAAGGATACAAACTATTTCTGATGTCTCTTCTCATATTAAATATGAAGTCTTTGCTTATACTGGAATATCTGTCATTTAAGAAATTTATTCTAAAAAGAATCGTAAGGAGCTAGACTGCAAAAGTGTTTTATCACTAGATTTGTAGACGCTCTTGTTTAGGTTATAATGATGTGCCCTGCTTGCACACGTATACACCGGGAGGTGGGCAGGATAGAGATGGAGATTTGCACTGGAAAATATTTTATTGTGCACATGTGAGGGATTAGACCTGAAGCTGCTGCAGTTGCTCAGCGGGATGTTTTATGCAGAATAACAGTTATCTGGGTTTGTGGTGTGGGTTTTATAAGAAACAAGGGCTTACTAAGTTTTTTGAGTGAGAGAATTAAGTTTAACATGGGAATGGTTCCTAACCATGATTATGAACTTGGGGTGGGGGGAAGGGTTAACTTCCAGGCAGGGGGACCCTAACCCAGGGTGGCCATCTTACAGCTCTGAGGCCTCTGTGTTTCCAGTTCCTGACTCCATTCCAGAAAGCCAGAAGCAGGATCCGTGGAGTACAGTTGAGGAAAGAAATACCAGGTGTCTGTGGCCTCTGAGCTGTTTTATTTGAATCCTCACCTGAAGATATGTGTTTTTTTGTTTGTTTTTTTTTTGACGTTTTTAGAGAGAGAGGAAGGGAGAGAGAGATCTCTGTGGGAGAGAAACATTGATCAGTTACCTTCCATATGTGCCCCGACTGGGTAACGAACCCACAACCTAGGTATATGCCCTTACCAGGAATCAAACTCGTAACCTTTTAGTGTATGGAACGATGCTCCAACCAGCTGAGCCACCTAGCCAGGGCCCTCCAGTGTTCGTTATAATGAACTCTCTTAAAGCCGCTAGACCAGGGAGGAATGGCTACCTCACCCCAAAGGCAGCTGAGGTTTTCAGAATCTGAATGTGTCTGATGCCAGAGGCCCTGAGGGTAGCTGGGACTCTGTGGCCTTCTGCCTGCTGCCCGTAGGAATACCACATCGTGAAGAAGTCCACCCGCTCCCTGAGCACCACACAGGTGGAGTCCCCGTGGAGGCTCATCCGGCCGTCTGTCATCTCCATCATCGGGCTGTACAAGGAAAAGGGCAAGGTGAGCGCTCTTCCACCCGCTGTTCGCCCTCCGGCGAGAGTTAGCCTATGTTTCCTAAACAGTTATTTTTTATTGTTGTTGTTTTTATATGAAAATAACAAACGTTTAACGAGGAATAGATGACGCGCCCTTTATGTACTCAACATAAGTGAGTGGCTTCCCAGGCGTACTGTCCTGTGGGCCTGAGTGAGGGGGGTCACACCCTTTTGCCTTAATTACGGGCATGGCTGGGAAGACATCTCCGTTCAATACTGACATGGGAAGGATGCCCTCAGGGAAGTACTGCAGTGACAACCTGGACCTCCATCTGCTTTGGGTGTAGGGCCTTGGCTTTAGCATTGCCGGAGGTCGAGACTGCATTCGAGGACAGATGGGGATTTTTGTCAAGACCATTTTCCCAAATGGATCAGCTGCCGAGGACGGAAGACTAAAGGAAGGTAGGAGAGCGCCTCTGGGTGTCCTCAGTGTGGGTGTGCTCTGATTTCATGGGAATCTGCCCCTTTGCAAGGTGTGGAGGGAACGCCCAGCAGTTGGGGCTGTGGGCTTGGGAGCACAGCAGTTGGGGGCTGAATCCAGCACTCACCACATCATGACCTCTGACGGTGGTAACCTGAGCTTCCCTTTCCTCACTTAAAAACACGGGGAACCAGAACCCACCTGGAAGAGTTGTGGTGAGGATTGAATGAGCCCTGTGAAAAGTGGCTTGCTACTTTTATTTGGGTCTTTAAATATCTACCTTATTCCTTTGGTCTTTGATCAGGTTTCTTTTTTAGAAAATTTCTGAGAGTTTCTGGGCTGGATACGTACACATCTTTTACATTCTCCTCAGCACCTCCTATTTGACCGCTCACATAAACATACTAAACAAGTGCTTCCCCACACACACCGCTTTATGGAGATGTAATGGATAGATAACTCTGTATGTTTAAGGTGTATGACATGATATGATAACACTGATGTACTGTGAAATGATTACCATAGTAAAGTTCGTTAACCACCTCCGTCACCTCAAGTCCCCTGTTTTGTGTGTGGGGGGTGAGAATATTGAAGACCTACTCTCTGAACAATTTCAGGAATATAACTTAGTATTGCTAACTGTGGTCACCATGCTGTACATTAGGTCCGCAGAACTTGTTCATGAATTCTGACTTTTCTTCCTTTTTATCAATACACTTCCTTCATGGGATGATTAAGTCACAATATTTCTAGTTACCTTCAAAAACGGTGTGACTGCTCATTTCAGTTGGCTCAAAGTACAGGTGCTGCTGTATGAAACTGCTGTTTTTTTTATTATTAATAACTGACTAGTAGCCCAGTTGTTCCTTGCTGCCCTCCTGTAGCTCCCTCCACCCCTCTGCTCCCCTGCCTACCCTCCATAGCTTGCTGCCCTGCCCCCTCCTGTAGCTCTCCACTCCCCGCTTGTAGCTCGCTGCCCCACCCTCCTGCTGACCTGTGATCCGGTCATTAACATGGTCAGTCATTAACGCTTCCCAATGTAAGGACCATTTGCATGTTACATCTTTATTATATAGGGTAGAATGAGTTGGAGTTTCCTTTTTCAGGCAGAGTGACCCTGGAAGCCTGGCTGCTAATGATGAGACATGAGCAGGCTTCATATTTTGATGGCAGAGTATTTATTTCCCTCTCTCAGAGGAAGGGTTGGCTCCCAGGTAGTGTCTGTGTGTACAGAACAACAGAAAGTTCTAGGAGCAGAGCATTTTCATAATGGATGTGCCCTGTGTTCACTTGATTGACAGTCTCCCTGCAGCGCTGGTGGATTGCAGCAAAACGGAGGAGAAATCAATAGTTAGGAAAGGTTAATAGCACTCAGGTCTTCCTAATACTCTTTTATTTCCTTCTGTATCATTTACAATAAAGACAAGTCGTTGAAATGGATTTTCAACCTGTTGAATGGTCTGTTGTCTTTAAATCTTGTATGAAGATTTTTAAAGCCTGAACAATCATTTTAATGTTTCCATCCTTTTCCCATGTGGGAACAAGCCCAAAACCTCACCTCGTTGAGTAATCAGCCATGCCAGGTGATTTTTAAACAGTCTGCCACTTATTTTACAACTTGTGCAATTGCATTAGAGGGAAGGCACATAACAAACGCATGGGGACAAGGTTCCTTTGGTCAGGCCCACAGTGTGCTCCTGGGACTGGCCGTCCCTGGGAGGGGGACAGAGAGATCTTGGGCTGCTTTGCACTCTGTCTTAGGTAAGGGAAGTCTCTTCCGTCCTACACTGCTGTGCAAGGTCCATCTCTTCTGCTCTTGGGGCCGCTTTGTGGCGTTTTTGATGAGCTGTTATTTAAAAAAACCAGATTGTGTTACAAGAGTACAAACTAGAACAAACTCTGGTAAGTCATCAGGATGTTCAAGTCTTTTCTATTCCTGGCAGACATTATCAACAGCTTGAAAATGACCTAACTATACCTTCTTGGAGTTGAAGATGAGTCCGGGATGTGGGGTGAGGGGAGAGAATGTGAGTGCAGTTTAACATTAGCCTATAGTAATTTCTGACACAGAAGTGTATAGTAGTGTGCCAGATTAATGATGGAGAACCCAGAGTACCACTAAGACCATCTTAGACGGGCATCTAGACTATTTCTAGAGGTAGGGCCGCCATTCCTAAATAATCTCTCACAAGGTTTTGTTTTGTGTGTGTGTGTGTGTGTGTATGTTTTGTCTCTGTTATTGAGACGATTTTCCCTGCTCTGTGATGATTCTCCGAGCCCAGAGATGGGAGTGGCTTCTCACATGTGTGCGTTCATGCTTCACTGCCTGTGGGTTTAAGTTTTTAAACAAAGAGCATGAGGAAAGACTTGGGACTCCATTTCTGCAGTTTGATCTCTAAACATAGGACATCTGATATTAAACTTGGCAATGGCTAAAGAATAAGACTTGGATGCTTCCCCTAGTCGTTTTAATTAAAGGTGTTAATTACAGAGTTACTGCAAAGAAATGTGCATTAATTGTCCCTTTTGTGACATTCCTGGGAGCTAAGCTAAGGAAAGTGGATGGAAGCATAAAATTCATTTTATAGAGTTGTAGATCAGGGACCCTGTGGTATCCTGTTCGCATACTGACAGGTTCCCCTAAATTAAAGCCTGACATTAATGTAATTCTCCTATTTGGTCCCTAGGGGATGAAATCCTAGATGTAAATGGAATACCAATAAAGGGCTTGACGTTTCAAGAAGCCATTCATACCTTTAAGGTAACAACATTCTTATTGATCTCCTTTATTCTCTTGTTTTTCTTCATCTCCTATTTCATGTTTGGATTTCGTGTTGTTGTTTTTCACTCTTTGGCATAGAAATAGTCTGAATGTTTCAGCCCTACTTTCTTTTTGTTTTCTCAGCAAATCCGGAGTGGATTGTTTGTGTTAACCGTTCGCACAAAGTTACTGAGTCCAAGCCTCACGCCCTGCTCCACCCCCACACACATGAGTAGATCCAGCTCCCCAAACTTCAACGCCAGTGGGGGGACCTCAGCGGTAGGCTCTGATGAAAGCAACTCTTCCTCTCTGAGTCGGAAGGCCCATGGGCCAAAGGATAGAATTGTCATGGAAGTAACGCTCAACAAAGGTGATGCCAGCTGTTCCTTGCCTTTGCTACCTGCTCTCACATAGCAATGTGAACTTTTTATGCTTTTCCTATGAATCATTTCTTTGGAACGATCTACTAACAACAATATATGGTGTTCTCTAAATGGGCAGTAGGATCAAAAGTGGAGATGTTAGTCATTTTACTAAAGTTCAGGAGAATTACCAAGAGCCCACAGTCCTATGAGCTCTCCCCAGATGAATTGCCATGTGTCCAAGACTCCTGTTTAAAGAAACCACTAACCAGCTTAATTCCAGAGCTAATATAAAAATTTAAAGAAGAAAAGATCATAGTTAAGAATACAGTTAACACCAATAACTAAGTCATGGGTGATCCCCAAATCATACTGCTTTTCATCTCTGTTTTCTTTCCCTCCTCACCCACTGTAGAAATAGGAGGTGCAATTAAATAATCAAGGGATTAGGTGCTAAAATAGGCAGTAAAAGAATACCTAAAATTGTACATCCAAAATAAAATATATTACCTCGACTCTGCCTATTTCCAAAAAGTAGATTTGCAGACTAAGTAGAGTAAACCATTGAACAATTCCCAGTCCGGTTCAACCGTGGTTCTGTCAGGACTCATTTAATGAACAGAATGTGGCAATGTGGGCAAAGAAAAGCAGGATTCACAGTCTGAGTCTGGTCAAGAAATGAATGGCTATTGGTCTGAATATCCATTGATGGCAGCTTCCAATCACTCAGGCCTGATTTTTTATGTTGTTTTCTTTAATGATGCCTCTGGCAGAGCCCAGAGTCGGATTGGGCATTGGCGCCTGCTGCCTGGCACTGGAGAACAGCCCTCCGGGCATCTACATTCACAGCCTTGCCCCGGGATCCGTGGCCAAGATGGAGAGCAACCTGAGGTGCGTAGTAAACCTGGCATGTCCGTGAATATTCTGAGTCCATACATGTCAGATACCTGCGCTGTTACATTCCTTTATGTGATTCTAAATCTTTGTATTAGTTGCAGAAATATAGCCTGGATTATAATTAATAGCATCTCCAAAGGTGAAATGAAATTTGGTTGAATTAAGAGAACTCTGGATCTTGGCTTTTCCGATGTTCTATTTGGACACAGAAGTTCAGTTTCACAAACGACAAAACACAGCTCTATACAGATAACTGTGATTCTCTAAATATTCCCTTGCACTTGTACATTCAGTTATGTGAAATTCAGGGAGATGCTGGGAAGTGCTCAGTATGGTTCAGGATCACTGGGTACAAGAGAGTCCTCAAATCATGCCTTTATTATTCAGCGTAATCGCTTGAACCTTTCCTGTTGTTTCATTCCTTTCTGGGTGGTGATGTGGAGATGCTTACTGTCTGAAGTCACTGCGTGTCTGATTTCTTGATCCAGCTAGCTGCGTTGTGGCATGGGTATCCTGTTTATACAAGACATGCCTAGGTGTTCTGTTATATAATAGTTGCGATGGGTTTGTGCCCATCTAAACTTCGCAAGAACATACATGTACTGCACAAAGCACCCTGTGCAAACAGTATCACCTTTCTTCCCTCTAAGCTTCTAAGTCCTTGAGCAGTTGAGGAATTATCAAAATGACATTCCTTGAGGTTGCCATCTTGGGGCCCTGTTAATAGATTATATTATGTTTTTAGTTAATCATCAGAGTGAATTTCCATATGAAAAAAAAAAGTTAGCAAATCATCCAAAGTACATTAAAGAAAATATACTTTTAGAACCCAAGGAAAAAAATCCTTTAATGACATCCCAAGATGATGTTTTTTTCTTGAATGGTTCCATATGTCTGGAGCCTGCCAAATGAACATTCTTCAAACCCCATATAAAGACTCTTTGTTCTCTCGTCCTGAGTTCTCTCCCTATAATTTCAAGTCAAAAATGGGCATCTTGTCTTCAATTTCTCATTTGTTCGAATTTGAAACGTTTTTACAAATTCTTGGGTAACCTTTGAGCTTCAGATATTTCCTCCTTAAATTATATTACAATAATCATTTCAAGATGGTAGGAAAGAAGAAATTGATGGTGGTCGAGGGGCTATCACGTGATGATTGAGGTAGACAGACCTGAGTTCAACAGTGTGTGACCTCTAGCTGACCTCTCTGAGCCTGTGGTCTTCTGTACATAATGGGAATAATAATACCCCTTCAAGCACCATTCTATGGATGGCTTTGTATAGTGTCTGGCTTACACTATGTGCTCAAGAAGTGTTAGCCTGCGCTGTTGTCCTTATTATCTATTTTATTTACCTTTACTACTTCTGAAAATATGGGTAGGTAAGCATAATGGCTTTTGCCAACTTACAATCCATTGTGTTTATAAGAACGTGGTGCTCTTTTACATATATGCAAAGATGGAAATACACCTTTATTCAGAAAAATTTCCTTATGATAAAGTATTCAGAAAAGAATTATTAGAAACCTCCCCTAGAAGGAAACCTTGTAAAAAGTCGACTGTTAGCACAGTGTTGATTATGTTGCCTCCTTAGCCGTGGAGATCAGATCCTGGAAGTGAACTCGGTCAACGTCCGCCATGCTGCTTTAAGCAAAGTCCACTCCATCTTGAGCAAATGTCCACCAGGACCCGTGCGCCTTGTCATCGGCCGGCACCCTAATCCAAAGGTGAAGTACTTCATGTGTTCTGAGTTTGGGAAGATGGCCTGGCTGTTTGTCCAGGAGCAGTGACACACACATTACAGTGACAACACATACATTGGTGGGTGGGACAGTGCACTGGGCTGGGGATGGGAGTCATCCTGAGCCCCCACCGTGGCCCAGGTGACAACTACACATGGGAAACGAATCATTGATCTGAACTTCTGCACCCTTATGTTCTCAGGAAGATTTATCAGACAATTCTGACAATGTTATTGGTGAGTGTCAAATTTGGAAGAAGGCAGCAGTGCTGGGTTCTGGTTAACCCCAGCTGGCCATGTGATGATCTCTGGTGAGGTACTTCACCTTTTTTGGGTTTCTGTATCCAGAGTACCTGAGAGCATTACATGAGATGACTTGTCTGGGCCATTCCTGCCCTGAGCAGAATACTTCTGTAATTAGGCTTCATAGCCCTCTAATATTTTTTAGCACTGATATCACTCTGTTGGCCCATATTGAACTTGCAGATTATTGTAGCCCCTGTCCCCTGGGCCTCTGCTATTATTTGGTTATCTCTTCTAAATGTGTGCAGTTGCTTTTAATTTTTTCAGCTAGTCACGACACCTTGGCAAGTTCAACTCGACCCTCCTTGAATGCTAATTTTTGTCATTTTGAGCATTCGATGTACAAATCGTTTAAAATTAGCTTGTCTCTAACATTGTCATCAGGTTGTATTTTACAATGTTTAGTCCTTTCCTTTTAACAACTCAGAATGCTCATTGGTTACACTAGTTCTTTCCTTGCCTGTCCTGTAGCCGCCAGCCCCTCCCTTGTATTGTATGTAGGATTATTTGATTATGTCCTAAGTGGTCCCAGGCTGCTGAGCTTGATGGACTTGTATGCCATTTTAAGAAGAAGTCTGTGCCAAGAGACGCTGTGGGTCCTCCCAGGTGCCACGCCTGGGATTTCCTTCGCGCATTACCGTCATGGCATCGTTCTGAGTGTCTCAGTGGTGTTCTCTGTGGCCCTGGTCCTCCCAGTGCCAGTAAGGCATCCAGCTTTACCTCCAAGCCTGGGCCCGTGAGGGTGGTGTCAGCCACTGTGCTTAGACAGAGGCTGTCATTAGACTGATTCAAAGTCAGCTCCACTGCTTCCCTATCCCACCTCACCTCCTCCCTGATTGTTTTCTCTCATCTACGTGCCTTCTCAAAAGCATCTTCATAAAAGCTTCCTAGAAATCATTAGTATAAAATCAAGTCCTTCTACCTCTTCCCTGTTTTTCCTTGTCATTCCCTTTGTTCTCCATTCTGTTCTGCAGTCCTGACCCTTCCCCTCAGCACCTGGTGTACTTCATTTCCCCACTCTCCCTAGGACTCTCTGGGTTGCTTCTAACATTGTTTTGCCTCATCATCACAGCCCGACCCGCCTCAGCTCCTTGCTCCTGCGCCCTCTCTTGGATTCCATCACCCACATGGCCACACCACCTCTCGAACCTTAGGAAGCAGTCCACTAAGCTGTGGCTGCCCTGGCACATCCCTCAGCCACACAATAAGAAGTTAAGTTCTTAGTGTTTGGCAGGCTGATGGCGTCAGGGCTGACTTCAAGTCCATTCCACTGCAGCGCAGGCTGCGGTCTGTCCAGTGGTCCACATCGCCTCAGCCCCAAAGCATCTGCCTAATTTGCTATTCTGGTCAAACAGGCAAACAAGATGGCCTTTCAGTGCAAAGCACGATGATACAGATGGACTATGGTCTGCGATTCTTGAACACACAGGTTGAGTCGTGTTTCCCGCCGCAATAAAATGGTCCTCCTGACGGTGTGGGAGATAATGGCCAGCAGAATCACAGTAATTGTTGGCCTGCACTTCACTTTTCCTCCTAGGTAAACATGGGCTCTGAGCTATAACATCATACTGTATTTTTCTTCTGGTCAAAGTTCCATTTTGTGTTTAATGTGTTTTCATGCCGCTTACCCCAGCATTTCATACCAGTAGTACAGTTTGATACTGAATGTATGTGTTTCCTTAGTTTTAATGTTGTTCCAAGAGAAATACCACAAAGATTTTCTTTTCTTCTGTTTCTCTAACGGCTGGAGCAGTGGCCGCCCACTTGGGATATCCAAACCCTCCAGGTCTAGACAAGCTAAGAGTTGGACCCGCTCAGCAGCAGCATCTAGTTTACATTAAGTAGAAGAAAGTATTGGTGGTAGAGGTCTGTTTTTCACTGGTGCTGGGCTCCCAGGTGATTCAAATTACCCAGGAAATCTTTCACTCGTTTCAGACCCCAACCATTTTCCCCCCACTCTGCAAAACAATAGCAAATCTTGAAAGTCTAATGTCAAGAAAAAGTTGCAACCACTGTTTCAGCTGATACTTTCCCTGCTTATTTATACAAAATTACCCTTTGCTTTATGAAGGTGTGTGTGTGTGTAAGCATGTGTATATGCCGCTGTGCATGTATGTTTACATATTCAATATTTTATTTCCAGAAAACCTAAAAGTATTACATAAAGGCCATGATGTGATTGTGATTAAATGTAATGCTAATTCCTGGATAGTGCCCTGGCTGGTTTGGTTCAGTGGACAGAGCATCGGCCTGCGGACTGGAGGGTCCTGGGTTTAATTCCGGTCAAGGGCACATGCCTGGGTTGCAGGATTGATCCCCAGTGGGGGGCATGGAGAAGCAGCCAATCAATGATTCTCTCTCATCGTTGATGTTTCTATCTCTCTCCCTCTCCCTTCCTCTCTGAAATAAATAGAAATACACACACACACAGTGTGTGTGTGTATATATATATATATATATATATATATATATATATATATATATATATTTAAATCCTATATAGAAATATTTACACACTAAAGACAAATTGCTATGCTTAGCCAAATATTATTTATACTAAATGTTATTTTAGTATACAAATTATCATTCTAAGTTTAAAATATAAGCCTTTTAAAAAAGAAACTACATAAGTTATGTAATTGTCTTTTAAAACATCTCATAGTTTAACATGTATCAGGCTTTAAAATATCTTCTCATGAGTGATAACAACTATGGGAGACGGGGAATCTATGAACATACTATAATACCAATACAGAAGGAAAAGAAGTTATAAAAGCACTATATTGAAAACTTCACTATAAGAATTGATTCAGACAATAATACTTAATGAAGCTAAAATAGTAGAGTGAAAATACACTGGGGAGCAGGATATTGACATTGTTTCAAACTATCTCCTTACAGATGACTCATTAATGGCACACACACCCACAAAAAAAAAAAAAAATCCAGTGGAGAAATCTGCTGAACTCCATGCCAATCACGTAATCAAAGTTATCACCAATTATGAAACACACTGACCCTGCCTGCTGCTGTGATGCACTGAGAAGAAACCAAGTTTTATAGTTTTTCTGCCCAAGAATGCATAATCTAAATCTAAGCATGAAGAAACTATTAGGCACATCCTTTGAGGGTTTGAATTGGCTTCATCTCTTCCAAAATATCAGTATCATGAAAGACAAAGAAGGGCTCTGAATTGCTTTGGCTTAAAGGAGACCAAAGAGACATGACCCTAGATCATGCACTGAATTCTGGATTGCCAAAAAGAAGGAAAAAACAAAACAAAACAAAAAACCCTGATTTTCTTTTCCTCTTCCGTCTGCTCAGCTTCTGCCTCTGTTTCCAGCTCCTTTTCATTGGGGGAAATAAGTAAGTAAACCCATCTAATGTGTGCTTTCTGTTGAAAACCAGGTTTCCGAGCAGGAAATGGATGAAGTGATAGCACGCAGCACTTACCAGGAGAGCAAAGAGGCCAGTTCCTCTCCCAGTTTAGGTACTGTAACCGCACATTTTCATTCAACCTTGGGAACCATCTCATTAGGTGCCCCCATGGGGCAATCCCGGGCAGTATGACTTGATTCTCTCTCTGGAATGATCACGTTGGACAGAAGTAGTTGTCAAAGAGATGCTAAGCTTTCTCTTCGCAGCTGCTTTTGATATCTGCAGTTGTTTAATCTGCTTTACTAGTTCTACTCACGCATGCCTCTTAGATCACTTTGAGATGATTTGCAAAAATGAGTTAGCAGCGTTTCATGGTTTATGTGCAGCTCATCCGACCTGTGCTTGCTGAGTATAAAGCGAGACCAAAATAGCTGTGTGTGCATTGTGAGATGCAGAGTAGAGAATCCAAAAACCTGGGGCTTCTTGACATGAATTAAAAGTTTCCACTTAAGAAAGGCAATGGAGGCTGCAGAAATCCCGCTTTCCCCTTCCCATGTGGAGCAGTTGAAGTGGAGGAGGACTGAGATAGTAAGCATTTCACATGAATTTAAAACAGGAAGCGTGGCGTGGAGTCCTATGGAATGGAACCTAAAGGAACTGCAAACGTGTCTGAGCTTGAGATATGACTCACGTCAGGATTGATGTCGGGAGGAAAAGGCACTGAGCCATGAGTTGCTGGTTGTCAGAGGAAAAGGGAGGCATGGGAATTCTTGGAAACCATGAAATACCCTGATTATCTGCATCCATAATTAATATATTTAAAATCATGGCACAGCCATAATGGGCTCTTTATTCAGCTCGCCCGGCCTCCCGGCCTGCCGGAAAGCTGTCCTCTCGTGCTCCCAGCGGAGCCCCTCGGCCATTTATAAAAGACATTATTAAGCCATGATCCTCATGCCCAGGATCTTTTGGCTCGTGGCATACCATTTAAAGTCTCAATGCTGAGTCTTTTCCTCCTTCAACTCAAGTCTAAAATAGATAGTCAACCCTCTTCTCGGCTCTTGTGTGAGTTTCCTGGGTGGTGCCCCTTTGTTCATTCATCCTGTAATCCATCCACACACAGCTCCTATCCAGGAGCAGTGGTGAGCACCGTGGGGTCGGCTCAGTGAGGGTCTCAGCCCTGTGCATAGTGAAAGAGCTGAGGGAGGGAGATGAGATGAATCTACTTATAATCCGATTAAACTGTGTGTATGGGAATTGGTGTATGAGTAGCACAAAGTACTTTAGAGATTCAGGCGAAGTTCCTCCCAACTGGGACCATCCTGGAGATGGTAACATCTGAGTTAAGTCCTAAAGCATGAGCAGAATCTCGGGAGGGGGATGGGATAGGGATAGGGTTCCCAGGGAGACCGCATGCATGTGGGTACCTGTGCACCTGGCCCATCAGTGCCAGTCAAGCAGAGAGGGCTTTATGTAGTGTGCTTGGCTCCTCCTCTTCTAGTTAAGGATGGGAGCCTGTTTGTACAGATTGGAGCTTCATGACAATATGGTGAATTTTTCCCCCAACAGGTACCCCCTTGAAGAGTCCCTCTCTTGCAAAAAAGGTGAGTCCGGGTGCACTGCTGCCTGTGAACAAATTCCTGGAGCCCAGAAATCAAATGTGAGGGCCCAGCCGGTATTTCTGTCCCATGAGTCATCTGGCCACTTTACACAGGAAACAGCAACAATGCTGATTTGAGAACAAGACTATGAATGTGTTTCTTTTGTTAAATATTCATTCAGGAAAAGAAACAGCAACAGAATAAATTTGAACTGCAATTTGGGGGGAAAAAATAGTTTTCTAAATGCTCCATAAGAAGAGGGCGGGCCCCGGTTGGATTTGGGGGCCTGTGTCTTTAGGGAGACAGTGGCCCATTCCGGGCTGGCTGTGCCTGCGTCCCAGTGGGTCTGACCACAGGGCCCGAGTTCCCCTGGGTTCTGTTCCATCAACAGGCTGCAGCAGTGGCTCGCAATTCCATTCTGTTTTCCTATCGCTTCCTCGCTGTTTTTCCTGGGAGGGTGGATACATGGCTGCTGCGGCTTTTCTCACATTGCCAAACATTTGGCAAAAAAACACACACAAAAACAAAGAGAAAACTTAAAAAATGTTGTCTGGCAGCAAGCGTTGGCTTTTGACTCGTTTAATTGAGCCATCCTAAAGTAAATGGAAGTGGGTGTTCACCCCACAGCTGCTCCGAATGGCCATGGATCAGAACAAAGTGTTCTTGGAAAGGTAGGAAGTAATTATATGAGAATATTCCGCTCCCAAGCCGTCCAATGCTGTCTTCTTCCACAGGACTCCCTGCTCTCTGAGGCCGACCTCTCCCAGTACTTTGCCCCGGACGCCCCAGGGCCCCTGGCGGACTTCGTGGTGGCGGGCTCAGAGGACGAGGAGCACTCGGGGAGCGGCTGCAGCGCCTCCAGTAAGCGGTGACTGCTCTCGGATCCGCCGGGCTGGCTTACCACATCCAGGGCTGAAGCCATCTTTCTAGCCTGGCTGCATTCAGAGTTTAGTTTTTAAAAATGGCCAGTTGATTCTGCAGCACATTCTACCCCCAGAAGTGATGGTGGCCTTTGGGTGCTGTGTACATAGCGGAGCCTTGATATGTATGGGTTTGGCACCTCAAGGACCTATGTTTTAGGCAGGGGAATACCAGCCAAATGTCAGGTCCTCCCGTCCCAAGACCCTGACTTAATTATTTTTAGAAAGCAGTGAAAGATTTGGAACTTACAAGACATTTCATCTCATTATCTTCTCAATGGGAGAAGAGCCTCTGACATGAACCGTGCTGATTTCTCAGGCTTGTGCTGCTGTGGAGCCCGTTGCACTTTACCTCTGATGTATGACCGTGGACGTGGCCCTGTCTTAGGAGAGGCAGGGGAGGCTCACTCTGCGTCCGGTCTGGAGCAGCGGATGAGCTCACTGTAGTCTGATAGGAGCATTTCAAGGTGGAAGCATGTGTCATTTTTCGCTATATTTAGCAAGATGTGTGGAGTTTGCATAGCAGCTCAGGCCTTGCTTGCCCTCAGGGGGCGGGATTGGTTTGTAGAGTGTAACCTCAGGCTTAGCTGTGCCCACAGGCTAGGAGTCTACCTGCCCTTCAGTCAGGCCAGTCTCTGTGCTGATGAAGGAAGAACCTCAGGTGGGGGAAAGCCCAGGCCTGGGCACTTGTTGGTCCCCCGATATCCTCCTAAAGAGGAATCAGCAGCAGCAACTGGGTGGAGCCCCAGTCATGCACTAGACATCCTGATGGTAACAAGTTATGCATTTCTGCCTCTAGACAGCGCCCACATTTAAGTTAAACAATTCAGAGGTTCAGGGACAAAAATAAAAACACCAAAAGGGCGGCCAGCAGGAAAACGGGAGGGTAGCCAGCTGTCCGATGTGTTCCCTGAAGACCTCGGAAAGCAGTATCGATCATGGAAGCCTGGTGCCGGTGGGCCAGAGGGTACCAGAGGGCCAGGTGACTGGAAGCCTGGAAGCACTCAGGGTTTACCTTGCTAAGATCAGGCCCGATGGGAAACTGTTTCACCTGACTTTCTCTCCTCACCAGCTCCCAAGGAACCAGGAAAAGCCAGGGCCAACAGCCTCGTGTGTCTAGGAAGCCAGCGGGGCTCCGGGCTCTTCCACAAGCAGGTGACCGTCGCCAGACAGGCCAGTCTGCCCGGGAGCCCGCAGGTCCTCAGAAACCCTCTGCGCCGCCAGAGGAAGGTGGGCTGCTACGACGCCGAGGACGCCAGCGATGAGGAGGAGTTCGAGGGCGAAGGGGACTGCATCTCCCTCCCAGGGAGTTTCCCGGGAGCCGGCAGGCCTCTGGCAGGGGACAACTCTAGGCAAGGCTTGACCTCTTCCAAGGTCATGAATGTCAACCACCGAGAGGACCCTCCCCAGAAAACACTGGTCAGCAAGGCCTCCTCGGTGCCTCTCCTCGGCAGCTCCCTGAGCTTGGAGAGCATCCCAGGCGACCCCGCAGCCAGCCCGCTGCCTTCTGCAGAAGCCCCCCAGGGGAGGAAGGAGCTGTCGGGGTCCAGGAGTTCACCCAAATTGGAATACAAAGCTGACACCCAGAGTCTGGTGAGTGCGGACAGCGCCAGTGCCCCCCAGCAGAGGAGTGAAAACTTGGGGTGCAGGCACAGGCCAGTGGCCAGGGTCAGCCCACACTGCAAGGAGCCGGAGGCCAAGGTCAGGTTTCCCGAGTCCCAGACAGTAAACCTGGCCACCGGAGGTGATGACTCCAAGGGTGTGGAACCTAAGGTCCAGGCCGCTTCCGTCCACGAGACCATGGCTGGCGTCCAACCAGGTGGAGCTGCGGACAAGGTAATGGAGTTTCTTGTAGGTACTTGGGTGGATGCTATGTGAATGAAGGGGCAGTGTTATAACGCACAGGGCGTGGTCCCAAAAGCAAGGACAATGATTGGAGAATTCACTTTTGTCAACAGTCACTCATTTCAGCACACTGACTGCTCTGGAATGCACAGCAAGTTGGGAGGGGAAGGGCCCAGGTGTTCAGTCATAGATCATTCGGCCAAAGATATCATCGCCCTCTTACCTGTGCGTAGGGGCTGTGGTCGGTGATGGAAGGGCAGTGCGAGGCGGGTGGAGGAAAACCCTGGTGTCTCTGCCGACTGGTTGGGTGGCCACTTGAGGAAGTTACCACACCTTTCTGAGTCACAGTGTCTGGCCGTGAAGTAGGGAGGCCGTGTGCCCTGATCCACTCAGTATTGGCGCAACCATCAAACAGAGAGCAACAGTGATTAACTCCTTAATGGTCCTTATTAACTTTCTACAGTGATTGTGTGTAATTAAAGCTACTCATAGCCTTGTGTCACAGGAAAGAAACAAATAGTGCCACCGCGTGAAATGCAAGTTAATGTTATTTTATTACTTGGTTACACCTCGGTCAGAATGACCCAAAATTATCAAATGGCTCGTTTTTAAAAATTTCAGAATGCCTTCCAGTTAGCAAGGAGAGAGTAAGAATAAGAGAAACAAATGTTACTGATGATCTCAACTATATGGCTTCTGTCTGAACAGAGCTGAGGTGACCTGTAAGGCAATATTTATAAATATGTGTATTCAGGTGGTTTATATAGCATACGTGTAAATAGACCAGAAAATATAAAGTCATAAAAATTATATTAGAACATTTTTCCAAACCCTACAGAAAGAGTAGAAATGCCCATTTGTTTCCCTCCTAAACAACTATTCCCTCCAACTAGCACGTGTTTAAAAATGTAATGCTCAGCTAATGGGTAAATAATACTTTCCTTTTAAAAAGTACCATTGACAGGTTTTGGATAACTACCTAAATTGGCATTTAAAAATATTTTTATTGATTTCAGAGAGAGAGAGATAGAAACATCAATGAGAGAGAATCATTGAACGGATGCCTCCTGCTTACCCCCTGCTGGGGATTGAGCCCACAACCCAGGCATGTGCCCTTGACCAGAATTGAACCTGAGACCCTTCAGCCCGCAGGCCAATGCTTTATCCACTGAGCCAAACCAACTAGGATGGTATTTTCACTCATAACAATTTATAGCTATAATAATAAGGGGTTTCGCCATTGTGGATTCGTATTCCCACTACGAACTTTGAACAACATTTAAAACTTGTGTATCAAAGTTCAATTTTACCAAAGAAGTAAAATTTTAGTTCCAAAATTTGATTTTATTTATACGTGAGAAAGGAAATAGAATGCATTGCCACAAAATATTTACTACCAAATACTGGAAGCTAGAGAAAGATATCTTTCTCTTTTGGTCAGTGGGTTGTCTTCCATTTTTAATCTTAAATTGAGAGGAGAGCCACATGACCTAAAGTAACCATTGTAAAGTGTTCAGTCTAGTGGCACTGGGACACTTGGTGCTGCCCAGTCACCCGTCTAGTCCAGGACCCTCTGTCGTCCTGCACTGCATCCACCCCTGACTGGTGGTGGGTCCCTCAGCAGGTGATGGATGCCACAAGAGCAGCTGAGAGCCTCTGCTGCCACCTTTGGGCCACTCTCTGACTCTGTCCTAGAGGGTAAATTTCAAATCTTTTACTTTTTAGAAAGTTAGTTTAAAAAATTTTCTACAGTAGATTCTAGATAGAAGGAAGCTAAAGTGAAATATGAAATATTAAATGCCCATGTCATTTATTCAGATGAGTCCTCCCCCTGACTACCACACTGAAAAGCTGAGCTGACAGTCTTGGGTATCCATATGCGATATAATATCAATAATCCCTTCCATCTGTATAGAATGCATATTGTTTTTATCACTTAATATTGTCCTTTGTGACTGGTTTATTTCACTTATGACTGGTTTATTTCAAACACTGTTTTGGTTGTGTGTGTTTATTTGTTCTTTAAAATATGAGAGGAAAGAAGAAAGGGAGAGAAAAATATCAATTTGTTGTTCCACTCATTTAAGGATTCATTGGTTGATTCTTGTATGTGCCCTAACATGGGATTGAATCTGTATATCTGGACAAGGCTCTCACCAAGGAGTTACCCAGGCAGGGCTCTGTTTGTTTCTTCGATAGCCATCCTAAGAGGTGCGAGGTGGCATCCCATTGTGGTTTTGATCTGCACTTCCCTGACCACACACAGTGGAAAGTTGAGAAAGCTGAGGTTTGAGAAGAGTGACCCGACCATGCAGTTTCTAGTCCCATTCTGCAGCTCCTAGTCTGGGATTTTCTCAAACTAGCTCTCCTCTGGGTATGATGCCTTGGAGAGCTATTGACAGTGACTTGCTGTTGTCATTGCACCAGGATTCTCTGGGGAAGCTGACCATCGGGCATCGGCCCCACCCAGGAGCTGGCCACCTCCCAGACAGCCTGCCCGAAGCTGGACCAGACCAGAGGCAACACTCTGGGAGAGGTAAGATTAGTTTACCATTCACTGTGCTTCTACCCCGTTTCCCCAAAAATAAGACAGGGTCTTATATTTTTTGCTCCCAAAGATGCGCTAGGTATTATTTTCAGGGGATGTCTTATTTTTCCATGAAGAAGAATACGGTACACATTTATTGTTAAATGAAAATAAAGGAAATTTATTACCTGTATACGGTACGGTAGGACGGTAGTTGTCAACACAAACCAGACAAACTGTGAATCCTAGAGTATCAAGAATTTACTCATTTATTCAATGACAATCATGTCATCATCTTCTGGAACATCATCATAACAATCCAATTCCTGAATTTCCTGGTGAATTTCTTGTGACTCCATTTCTTTCAGAATCAGTAGACCAAATCTCTCATGTTTAGCCTAGGGGGCCTTATTTTCTGGGGGGGATGCCTTATATTATATTTCACTCAGAAGGAAACCTGTAAGTAGGCCTTACTTTCAGAGGATGTCTTATTTCCAAATAACGGTACAGGGGAGAGTAGAAGTTCCCCTAAAAGTCACTACATGTGGAGAATTTGAACGGGTGGGAAAACTCTTACACAGGTTCATGGTACATAAAAACTGCCTGCGTCTCACAGCTGAATGATTGAGCCTGAATGCCCAGTTCACACCACAGTGGTGTGCCTCTCTGTCCAGGCGACACCCCTTACCCGTTTGGGGCATTTACCTTAAAAGTACATGAGCCCTAACTGGTTTGGCTCAGTGGATAAAGCGTCGGCCTGCAAAACTCAAGGGTCCCAGGTTCGATTCCAGTCAAGGGCATGTACCTTGGTTGTAGGCATAATCCCGGTAGGGGGTATGCAGGAGGCAGCTGATTGATATTTCTATTTCATCGATGTTTCTAATTCTCCCTTCCTCTCTGTAAAAAATCAATTAAAAAAAAAAAAGTACATGAGACACGTGAGCACAAGGACTGCCTGCCTGTGGAATGTCTTTCTGAAAAAAACAAAAAGACAGATTGCTTACAGTTTTCCATTTTTTACTTTATTTTTCTTCTCACATTTCCCCCTTTTTCTCCCCTCCCACCCTACCTTCTGTTTACCTTCTTGATACAGGACTGGACGGCTACCCAGACATCATCTCTTCCCCAAGACAGGAGGAGGCTGCTCACTTGGATCCCAGCAAGACATCCATGGACACAGGACATGGGAGGCGGCCTGGGGACCCCAGAGAGCCAGTGCCGCCCAGGGCCCCCAAATCTGAGGACAGACGTCAGGGCAGCCCTGCTCGGGTCCACAGCACCTCCCCAGGGAAGACAGCAGGGTCTCATCCCCCAGAAACCAGCAGGCCCGACACCACCAGCAAGGCAGCCGCCCCTGGGGAAGCAGGGCCTGGGGAGGAGGGAGCGCCTGCAGCCAGCACTGTCCTGTCACCAGCCCTCTGCACAGGCCTGGACCACAGCCACGCTCCGCCAATGGCAGGGACCCTTGTGCCTGCACCTTCCCAGGAGGCTGCTGGGTTCGAGGGAACAGACTCCGAGCCTGGGAAGGCACTGCAGGCCAGCCACTCCTGGACATCACCCACTGACCGGGCTACGGGGGTGTGTGGTGGTGCCTCGGGGTACCACTGCCCTGAGACCAATGCAGACAGATGCTTCAAGGAGCAGGATGCCTCAGAAGGAAGACTTCCGGCTCTGGACAGAGGGCACCGAGCGAGGCTGGAGGGCAGTGCTCAGGGTCAGCTGCCCACCGGAGCTGCAGGAGGAAGCACCTGCCCAGCTGAGCCAGCCACCAGGAGCCAGGCCCCTACCCCCAGGAGGGCCTGGGAGGCGTGCCAACCCCCTCTGCCCCCCTGGACCGCCCAGCCTTCTGTTTTGGATTCAGTTAATCCTGACAAACATTTTACTGTGAACAAAAGCTTTCTGAGCAACTACTCTAGAAATCTCAGCAGTTTTCACGAGGACAGTGCGTCCCCGTCGGGCCCTGGTGACGGCACGGAGCTCTCTCTCTCCTCCATGTACGGGGACGCCGAGGACTCGTCCTCTGACCCCGAGTCGCTCCCCGATGCCCCGCGAGCTCGCAGCAGGGACACCCGGTCACCCGCTCGTTCCCGTGGGTCTTCTCACAGGGAAGACACTACGGAATCGGAGGAGGAGCAAATCGAAATCTATTCCTCAGGGGGTTTCCCCACCCCAACCTCGATGGCGGGGCCCGTGCCCGCCCAGGAGGCGCCCTGCCCTGTGCCAGTCGGAGGCCTGTCCAGGAGGCACGGCGCTCTGGGGGAGGCCGTGGGAAGTCCAGGAGACAGAGCCTGCCTCCGGCCGGGCGCCTTGTGCCCTCCCAGCCCGAGCTCTGCCCAGCCGTCTCCCCTCGGGAGCAGAAGCGCTCAGGGGCCTGAACCTCCCACGGGCCCACAGCTTCCACAGCCCGGGGGGGCCCAGGAAAGCCACCAGCCCTCCGCAGCCGCCCGGCGTCTGCCCAGCGCCCCGGTCACCCTCTGCGCTCCTGGCATGGTGAATGGCTTGGGACATGACTTGGTGGATGGCGAAACCACAAATGAGAAACAAGAAACCAGTGTGACCACAACTGACAGCGCGGGGGCCCCCGAGAACGGGGAGCGTGCCCTGGCCCACCTGCTCGGCTCCGAAAGCCCAGACCCGGAGGACACGCTGCAGAAACCAAAACTGGCCTCCAGGAGGCCCATCATGGCCTGGTTCAAAGACATCAATAAGAGCAGCCAGGGTGCTCCCGTGCAGAGCAGGACAGACAAGGGGCAGCCCGCCGTGCCGGCCACCAGCCCTGACGCCAAAAGCCACAGAAAGGGAGCTGCTGGGCTGAACAGCCCTGCTCAGCTGAAGCTGAATCTTGAAAATAAAGACCCCCCGAAAAGAAGCTCAGCGGAGACCGTTTTAAGCAACGGCCAGAAACCCAAGTCCGGCCCCAAGCTGAAGAGGCTGAGCAGCAAGAGCAAAAGCAGAGGCAGCGCCGAGGCCCCTGCTGCGGCCACGCCGAAGGCCGGCGGGATGGACCCCAGGAGGTCCCTGGTCTCCCCCCAGGCCGCCCACAAAACGCTCTCTAAGGCGGCGTCACCCCGGTCCCACGGGGCTGACCATGAGGAGGGGCCCAGCAGGAACGCCGCGGCCACTGCCTGGTCTCCCCAGTGTGGGCCGGAGAGCAAGCCGCCCCCCGCCGCCTCGGGGTCCCTGAGGCTGTCAGCCTCCGACACGAGCATCAGGCCCCCCGCCTCGCCCCTCACCTCCCCCAGGGCTCTTCCTGAGCCAGGCGCGGGCAGCAGGCTCCACACGTCTGTGCACCCCGGACCCGACAGAGGCAGCCCGGCCGCCCCCAGACCGAAGTGCGGGCCGGAGCACAAGGCGGCCTCGGGGACGGGGGCCGGCGCCCCGAGGAGCAGCGCGCCCACAGCAGCGGGCCGGCGGGAGCCCCCGCCTCCCCGGCAGGGCCAGCAGCTCGCGGCCAGCCTGACGTCTGCGGTACCAGAAGCGGCCCAGCCTGGGGTGACCGGTGACAAAGGAAGCAAAACAGCTGCTAACGATCCCCCCGAAAGAACCAACCAGCTGAAGATAGTGGAAATTTCTTCGGAAAGGATGCCGAAGAGTGCGTGTGGGGACGTGCCAGCCGAAAAAGGCAGATCGGGAGGGTTCGGGACCCAGAGCAATGGTGGTCCGAAGGGTGAACTTGGACTCGGCCACCAGCCAGTGGAATTGTCCCCAAACCACGCGCCTGCACGGGCGTCCCGCGCCTCCCCGGTGGAGCCGGAATCACTGCGCTCGTGCAGCGTGGCAAAGCTGGCCGCCGCCTCCCCGGGGAGGCCGAGCCAGGCGCCAGGCTCCCCGGAGATGCCCCAGAGCAGCACAGCGGCGGCCACAGCGCCGGAGGAGCACCCCTATTTCACGCCGAGGCCGGCCACCAGGACCTACTCCATGCCGGCCCAGTTCTCCAGCCATTTCGGACGGGAAGGGCCTTCCCTGCACAGCCCGGGGCGCTGCCCCCGGGACGGCCAGGTCCCTGGGCCAAGCGGCCTGGAGGCCAAGGGGTGCCGAGGCGGAGCTCTTGGCCTGGTGAATGGACCGGGACCGGGACCCGGCATCTACAGTGTGAAGCCCCTGCAGGAGATGTCCAGGGCCCTCCCAGCCACCGGCGCAGGGGACGTCCTTTCGGTGCAGGACCCGAGCTGCCTCGTCACCGACAAAATCCGAGTCACCAGAAGACACTACCTGGAGCAGCAGTGGCCCCATGGATCTACCTCTTTCTTCTCGGTGAAGCAAAGGATCAAGTCCTTCGAGAACCTGGCCCACGCAGACCGGTCCCCGGCCAAGTCCGGGGCTTCCGCGTTTTTGTCCGTGAGCTCCAAGCCTCCCATCGGGAGACGGTCCTCCGGCAGCGTCGTTTCGGGGAGCCTCAGCCACCCTGGCGACCTGGCGGCGAGGTCTCTGCGACGCAGCCTGAGCTCCTGCAGCGAAAGCCAGGGCGAAGCCAGCACCCTCATCCCCCAGATGACCAAGTCCCCATCCAGCATGACGCTGACAGTCCCCCGGCATCACCCGCCGGAGGCCAGGAACAAGGGCCCCGACGTCGACCCGAAGCCATCGCCCAGTCCTTCCGGAATCCCCGCCCCGATGGCGACCCAGGCCTCTCCCACCAAGAAGAACAAGTCCTCCGTGCGCCACGCCCAGCCCTCCCCCGTGTCCCGCTCCAAGCTCCAGGAGCTGAGGGCCTTGAGCATGCCTGACCTCGACAAGCTCTGCAGTGAGGACTTCCCCGCAGGGCCCACGGCGGTGCTCTTCAAGACAGAGCTGGAGGTCGTGCCCAGGAGGTCCCTCGGCTCCCCTGCCGGGGGCCTCAACGGGGCCACTGCTCTTTTGTGTCCTGTGCAGGGGGCGGACAGGGCTTGTCCAGGAGGAAGCAGGCCTAAAGCCAGTGAGCCTGGGGCACCCAGTTCAGCCAATGTGAGTGACACCAATCGGGATCTGCCCTCTGGAAAAAGCTGGTCAGTTAAGTAAGTATCTATCATTTTATTATTATTATTCACTAGTTTTAAGATTAATAGAAAAGTTTCAAAGATAATGCAGTTTCCATGCACCACTCACTCAGCTCTTCCTAACGTTAGCATCTTATACTACCATCATCCATTGGTCAAAATAAGTTAATACTGGAACACAATTAACTCAACTATAGACTTGATCCAGACGTCACTGAATAAATCCAAAAAAAGTCCTTGTTTGCTCCAGCATCCAGCCCAGGATAGCATTATCAGGAATAGCCCCCTTGTTTTCAATACCATTACAGAAACACGGTGCCTGCAGGGGGATGTGTTTGCCCAAATGTTGTGCTCAGTAGAGGCTTCTCGGTAGGGAAATGCTCAGAGATGGTGGTGGACGGGGCTGCGCCTCAGGGAAGAATTGGGACCTGTGAAGGTGACTGCAATTAAACGGGAAATCAATAACATCTAAAAACATTTCATTTGAGCCTATACATTGTGCATTTTTTAAATTAACAACTTTCATTTACCACATTGGTCCCTTAACTTCTTGGGGGAATCCCTGAATCCACAGCTATTTCCATTGAAAATACAATACAATCTAAAGGAGATCGTTTTAAATGCATCATTACAAAATAGAGAAACTGCTTTTTCTTTAATATTCTCCTAATGTGTTTATATTATTTAGTTTGGATCAACTTCTACTCTCCGTGGGGGACCAGCAAAGATTGCAGACTGTCTTGTCATCGGCGAGGTCGAAATCTACTATCCTGACTCTCATGCAGGAAGCGAAAGCACAATCAGAGGTGAGTGAAATGGAAAGGACATGGAGACACAAACTGCTGCCACGTCAGTGCCCAGGCACAGCCATGCACTCAGAGGTTCGTGAGCCCTTCTCCAGGTCTCCTGTTGTGAGCTCACAGCCCAATCTCACTTGCAGTCTGCTTTAGAAGCTAAACCTTGTCTTGAATTTTGAGGTGCCACATTGGTGCAGTTGTTCATTTACTTCCCCAGTGGGGACTAGTTACTGACCTCCCCACCCCACCCTGTATTTTGAGCTCTCTCTGCAGACAAACTCCAAACAGAATGAGGCATCTGGGAACTGGTTGGGAATGACTAGGTGGACATAAACTACCTGTCACAGGCGCCACCTGCTGGGGAGATGAGTTAATGCCTTGTGGTTTTGTCCTGGCCCAGAGTATAAAGAGTTTCTGAAGCCTGGGTTTCCAGATAGTCATTACAAATAAAGTTTTTCAATAAAATGGATGTAACAGTAACAGCAACAAATGAAACCAGGGGGTTCCTATCTAGAATACTTTTTGGGACTATCCACAGAGATTCGAACCCTAAGAAATGAAAATGAAAAGTAAGTACGGGTAATTTTCCTTGAGTGGTAATGTACCTGGGTCACTGGTATCATCTGAAATTCTAACACTAGAAGGGCTGTGACGCTGGCCTGCTGGCCTCCAATGAGGAGCCAGCCAGAGGGAGAGGAGGTGGGATGAGACCATTGACGCTTTCGGCCTCTCCTGGTTCTCGGCCCACTGGTTTGGGTCTGTGCAGCCAAGAAACACAGTGAGACATTTAACATTTTTCACTTTCACTTAAAGGGTCTCATCTATTGTCTCCTTCCTCCTTCAACTTGTAAGCAAGCATTTTGCACGTGGAAACTCTCTGATTTCCAGTCAAGGTCTTTTTAAAAAATATGTATTTTATTGATTTTTTTTACAGAGAGGAAGGGAGAGGGATGAGTCAGACACATCGATCAGCTGCCTCCTGCACACCCCCCACTGGGGATGTGCCCGCAACCAAGGTACATGCCCGTGACTGGAATCTCGAACCTGGGACCTTTGAGTCCGCAGGCTAATGCTCTATCCACTGAGCCAAACCGGTTAGGGCAGATCATGCTTATTTTCATCAACATGCAGCTGTCTGTTGGTTCCGGGCAAGCACAGATGTCCTCACTCTGCCATCTTTAGACCAGAAGCTTCCTGCATTGCTTTTTCTCAATGAGTATATGGTGTGTAGGTGCTGAAAATGGAAGTGTACAGAACAGATTCTTGTGACCTTCTGAGGGTGCTATGAGAAACTAGAGTAAAAAACAAGCCCTGGTCTTCTGGTTTCTAGAGAGCTAAATCTTGAGGAGCCCCTGATGGTGATTTTAGCTTTTCTGATGCACTGCTTAGCTTCTTAGAGGCAAAATCTGGCCTGACAATCGATCAGCTTCAGTACGCTGTGAATAATTTGAATAAATTAAAGCTTTGGAGATAATGTGTCCTGGGACACAGGAGAGTTCCATTTTCAAGTACTGTCTCTTTGCTCCAACAATACATTTAAATAGAAGCCGCACTATTTCACCACCAAACGTTACCTCTGAGCAGCTGCATGGAGCTCTTCTGTCAGGCCTCATCTCCCATTTTTCTTGGGAAAGCCGTCATCATTCTCTCCAGTGAATGGTGTCTGAGCACACGTGGTCGAATTTGCCCATAACGTGGAAATCCCAACCCCCAAAAAGTTCTGCAGGTCATTCTGTTGTTAGTTCATTCAAACCAAGACTACATATGCTGCTTTAGAGAAATGTAAAATGACTAAGATTGGTTCTATGAGAGAAGTCATAAGGCCTAAACACTTTTCAAATATTGGGTTCCTTTCCCAGCACAATACAGAGGTGGTTTTCTCTTCTAACTTTTTCACTCTTGTCAAAGCAATCCTTAAAGGTTATTAGATTCTTCCTCTATTGCTGTGTTTGAGAGCACCTCAAATTGATGGATTATATATCACTTGATGGGAAACCCAGCAGATCTTTAAAACGTGAGTCATCTCTAGCGTGTGGGTGGAAGAACTGAAAATTCAGTATAATTAGCCCAGCTCATTTTTTTATTTTAAAATCTCTTAGCAAGGTATCTTTAGATCAATGCTTGAAACACAGGACAATCTTTTGTTACTTAACCTCAGAACACTGCTAAAAATGTCCAATAGAGGAGTTGACAGCTTTCATGTACTCTAAATATTGTGACATACTTTATATACTTTTAAACATACTTTGTATTTGATGAGTACTAGTTCACTGACTGCATGTGGAATCGAGTGAACTGAGCATGGGAGGCGCAGGGCATAGAACACCTGGCCTCAGCGTGCTTTTTCCTGGCTCTTGGCACTTAACGCATCTCCCTTTGCTGCTGAACTATAGACATAACTGTAGAATAAAGAATTCCCTTCATGATCAAATTTGGGAGGACACCATTTGGACAGACTGGCTTCTAAAGTGTCCCATCCATACCTTCCTTCCCGTGGTTCTGTAGCCACAGGCTGGACCCTCGAAAACCTGTAAAGGCACCACCCGGGAGCATAGGACAGGGGAGTCATGGCTCCTCTAGTTCACACCCTGTAACAGCTCCTGAGGAACCACTGGGTTTCGTGGGATAGACTGCAGCACTCGGGGGGGTTGTGTCTGTACTCATTTGTACCTCTTGGCACAGGGAATATACTTTTTCCTTCTGTTTCTTCTCAATAGAATAAAGAAGATGTCTGCTTCATAGTCTTGACTAAGAAAGAAGGCTCGGGTCTGGGATTCAGCGTGGCAGGAGGGACAGATGTGGAGCCAAATGCCATTGTGGTGAGTGAGGATGTGGAGAAGCTCTCGGGAAAGTCATGCTGAAGCAATTCTGAGTTCGATCAGGACAAAATTCCCGTCAGTGAGTTCACAGGTTGCTGGAGTTGGTTCACAGCCACCTGAACAAAAGGAGGAAAAGCAGTACATAATATTTCCATTGACAGATAAGCTTTTTCAGACACTGCTGACTGATGGACAGGCTCAGTGACCTATTAGGTGCCAATACACATAAACACAATTATGCATAGCCCCGAATTCACCTAAATATTTTGTTTGTTCAGAAAGACATTAGAATTAACTGGCCAAACCTGCTTTTGCTTATGAAATTACTTCTTAAGAACCACTACGTTTAAATTTTGCATCACTCAGGGCCTGGAAGATCATTAGGGAGATGCCACCTTCCCTGGACAAGGTCAGGTCCTGTTCCTCTTTGTAGTGTTACTGCCCCATGGAGTGTTAGGCACATATCAGACATGATGCTGGGCACTGACATTTGTCATTCCGCCCCTCACTGAATGTGTTTTTAATATAAAACGAAGTGTTTGCATGACTTGGGAAATCTGCCATTAGAACGTTCCTTTAATGCAGGCCTGCAGTTACCCCTTTGCTTTTCTGGAAATCATAAATGACTTTGGCTTTGTCCTGTCTTTGTCCCAGGTCCATAGGTTATTTTCTCAGGGGGCAGCTTTTCTGGAAGGGACTATGAACCGAGGGGATTTCCTCCTGTCAGTCAATGGTGCCTCACTGGCTGGCTTGGCCCATGGGGATGTCCTGAAGGTTCTGCACCAGGCACAGCTGCACAAAGATGTCCTCATTGTCATCAAGAAAGGAAATGACCAGCCTAGGCCCTCCACCAGGCAGGAGCCACACACAGCCAATGGGAAGAGCTCGCTGTCCAGAGACACCATCTCCCTGGAGCCTGGAATGGGTAAGACACCTCCTCACCAGCCAGCAGGATGTGAGCAGCTGGCAGCATAGACTTGGGCTGAACACCAAGGAAAATAATGGTGATTACCTTATTAGCTGGGTCAGAGAAATTAAACATAGCGAAGTCGTGTTTGCAAAAGCCATGTTACAAGTAACTTATTTAAAAACCCAGTAATTAAAGACATACTATAGAAGACTTAAAATGACCATTTGACAGCTTCTCTCAAAGTCGTAAGGAAGCCCTTTTGAATTTCCATCCTCTTAGGATTTAAGCAGCTGGTAAGTGAAACAAGAAGCCCTTGTTCAGGGGACTGAAACGTGAGAGAAGCTCCAGGCTGAGCTTTGTCCTCGGAACATCCAGAAAGAAGGGTGTTTAAAGACAGTTGCTGCACACTGTCGTCCCAGGCTCTGCAGGAAGCCACATTAAGCACTGAGTCAGAATGGGCACTGCTTCTTTAGCACAGGCTGGGTCCCACGTGGGACTTCAGCTTTCACAGAGAAATGCACCGATGGGGGGGGGGGGGGGGGGCCTTTGGAGATTTCTGCTTGATCATAAAGGCACGCTCCATGCTTAGAACAGAGGTGCAGTTACTGCAGGAACACAGCCAGGAGGGGAGACCAACCCTAATACTGGTCTCAAATGTTGTCATCGGCACTTCAAGGTAAATGGGACACAGCAGGAGGTAATGAGTGTCCTGTTGTCTCCATCTTCACTGCAGGGAGAAGAGGAACTGCACAGGACGCTCTGTGCGTTGAAGTGTTGAAGACCTCGGCTGGGCTGGGATTGAGCCTGGATGGAGGAAAATCATCCATGTCTGGGGATGGGCCCCTGTTCATTAAGAGGGTGTACAAAGGTAATGTTCCAGAAAAAACAATCTGCCATCCACTTCTATTTCTGTGAGTCAGTGCCCCTTCCATAAATGTTTTTCATGCTTTAGTAGGGGCCCAGTGGACGAATCCATGCACAATAAAAGGAACTGTGGGCCATTGTGGTAGGCACAGGGGCAGATCGTGCCCCACCAGCCCCTACCATGTGCTGATGGCGCGGAGTAATTGGGGCCAGCACCAGCAGCGGGTGCAAGCAGCGGCTGCTGCCCCAGTTACCCTCAGGAGCCGTCACACCCATTGATGGCGCTGAGCACTTGGGACCCGTGCTGGGCACCGCAGCAGGTGCCAGTGCCAGGTGGGACCTCAGTGTACAGGAGCGAAGAATATTCAGTAACCACCAGGCAGTTGCCCATCCCGTCATGGCCAACGCCAGCCATGTTCTGCACACACCCCTTGGTGGTCAGCACCAATTTTGTTCCACCATACAGTCTATTTGCTTATTAGCCTTTTATTACATAAGATAGGGTTAATGTGTGTTAACTGTTGTTTTTTACACGTATTCACTCATGTCATCCACATGACAATCCTATCATAAAGCTACTATAACGCACCTAAGGTCACAAGTACCAGGCATGTGCCCCCGACTTCTACACTGTATCTCTGACTCCATGTTCACATCAGATCAGCCAGTCAGGAGCACTTAACACATTGTGGACAGCTCACGCGAATTCTGGCTTCATATTACAGTGTTTTATAAAGATCATACTTTAAAAAGATATTAAGCTTGTAAGAACATGTAATAAGTAACTGCAAAATGCAATGGGTATTTAATTTTAAAGCATGCCTGTAATATTTATGTAAAACGTTTTTTCGTTCAATAGAAACTTACCTGGCCACTGGGTAAAGCTAGCAATAAAACTACTGGTCCGCAATGTGTTAAGATTGCAATTTCCAGACTACAACAAAGTGAAATGGGAGGGAGCGGTAGTCTCTTCATGAACTTAAACCAACAATAATTTGTGTGTATATATCTTATTTAATGTAACACTCATACTGTTAGTATTAAATTTAGTAATAAAACAGCACTAATATTTAATACACTAATTGTTAGCATTCTTATTAAAAATTAGTATTAGGTTGTATTATACTAAAGACAGTATCTTTAGTATAAAGGAAAACCATAAAATCATTTTTGTAGCTACTTCATAACTGTAATTTTGCTACTGTTATCTGTTTTCTGATGGTCTTAGGCTCCACTGCCTTAAGGTATCCCAGCTAATTTGAATATTATCTCTCTCTCTCTCTCATATATATATATATTCTTTTTTTTTTTGAAATATCTTCTCAGCTGCTTAGATTTGGCATAGGAAGGGTTACAGATTTGAATTTTTATAGTCAGGTTTCATCTTATGGGTCTCTCTCCTAAGACTGTAAACAGATTTTTCTCACTGATGGTTTTAGCTTACTTGGACTTCATTGAGAATACCCTGGAAGTACCAAGCCCTCATTCTGTATTTACTCTCACAGGTGGTGCAGCTGAACAGGCTGGAACAATAGAAGCTGGGGATGAAATCCTTGCCATTAACGGAAAACCCCTGGTTGGGCTCATGCACTTCGATGCCTGGAATATTATGAAGTCTGTCCCGGAGGGACCTGTGCAGTTAGTAATTAGAAAGCATAGGAATTCTTCCTGAAATGAGTAGTGACACTCACATTTTTTATAAAAATCTCCTTTTCTCTGTTCCCTTCGTATTTCAGCAAGTCAGAAGGACGTCTTGAAACAGCAGAAAAACACTTGTCGGCAAGGACTGTAAAAATCCACATTTTTACTAACAGATGATGTTCGACTCTGGAAGCCGAAGCCTGACCTGGAACACCTAGGCCAGGAGGGTTCGTTTTGTTTTGGTACCTGTCCCCCACCTTTCGCTGTTACTAATGGGGATATAAGACGTGGCAGGGTGCCTTCTTTCATTTCAAACATTGAGTTAGACCTTCACTTATTTGGCCACCTCTTCCCAACACCCCAATCCTGGCCATTGGGGAGCCTACACAGGCTGAGGGGCAACACAAATGTCATGACTAAACGGACTCTAGTTTTTTATAATTTTGTAAGTAAATACCAATGCTTTAAGTACATTCAATGGACAGAACTATAGGTCTGTATGTTACCCTGAAAAGATAAGACTTTAAAATATAATAATAATCAACTTATGACCTAATGGTTAGGCTGAGCTCAGGAATTATCCAAAAATGAAAAAATGAAATACAGAAAGTGGTATATTTTAGTGAGTGTAAAGTGCAATATATGGCTGCAGAGTTCAACTCAGTGGATTACTGATCACAGTGAAGTGTTGGTCATGGTCTAAAAGTGTCAATCATAAGGCTGTTTTACAGAAACGATAAACTGTACTAAATAGCCATGAACTTGTTGCTTAAAATGAGCAGAAAGTTCCAGCTCGGAAAGCACCTTGTATCTAGCTTGACTAAGTGCTTGAATTCAAGACTGGTCAACATAAAAGCAGGCAAAAATATCAGTCACTGGGTTTCCATTTCTATATTTTATTTACTCTAACAGTAATTTAACCCTTTGTACTCCGAACCATTCTGGACATTGGCTACCAGCTACTCGACGCTACTTTGCGGCGGACACGTGCTTTGAATTAACTCAATTCCCCGTAATCACTAATAAACTGCAATGTCCCCCTGAGAGGGGACATCCGAGTGATATGCTAGAATTCCGATGTACCCTAAGAGGGACAGCGGAGTGCAAAGGGTTAAATTTTTAGAAACCAATTATCTTTTTAGTATCCTTCGATTTATAAACATAGGCATTATATTTACCATCCAAAAAAGAGGATCTTAGAGGACTGTTTGTTATGTCTCTCCCCCTCCCTCCCTCCCTCCCAACAAGCTTACAAAATGTACTGTTTCTAAGCATTGAATCTTATGACATATCTCTGCAGTGACTGAAACTTTTGCTGTTTTTGTTTTGCAAATTATTCCTTTTGCCAAAACCGTTTCCCTGCAGAAGACCATTGTAACTCATGCTGCTTGTGAAACTTGTCCCAGCTGCTCTCCTTTCGAAGCATGAATTTTGTAGGTGCTGTTCCTTGCTACAAAATTGGCTTTTCTCCCCTCATACTTCAAACCTTCATCAGCTTCCTTTACCAAAATGAAGGAGGAAAGTGAGTCACTTTGAAGGTAAAGGAGCAGTACTATGTAGTTACAACTCAGATCCTCGGGGGGGCACACACTAGCTGACTGAGTCCAGGGAATACAGGTGACACTGTGTATCTGTGCACATGATGACACTAAAGTTTTATGTTGAGCTTCTTTCAAAAACTATAGCTTGAGTTTATGGCTTAGAGAGAACACAGGTCATTATACCCCAGGGATCATGGAAGTACTTGAGCTGTCACTTTGTGCATCATTTTCCTGAGTGATAAATCCCAGTAAACCTCTCTGGAGTTGCCCAAAGAGGTCTCAGATGGAAGTGAAATATCTGATTGGTGTGAGCCCAGATTTCTCACATTTTAAAAGGTTCTATAAAATAAAACATAGTACAGGAATTAGCTAGAAAGACCTGATTAATTTAGCTTCTACTTTCACTACAATTCCAGGTAAGATACTATAGAAAGTCAGTACAAGGTGCATGCTAGATTGTTTTTTAAGTCTCTCGGGTCAATTTTGTGGTTTCTGTTTTCTTGACATGCAACTATTTGAAATCAACACTGAAAACTGTTTTTTGCCTCTACTCTTCCAGCTGTGCCTCTTTAGAAACAGTCTTCTGTGAGCAGGCAGGAATTTCTAGAGCAATGGGATGGTCTCCTCCTGAGAGTCCCTGATCCTCACTCAAATCTGAGGAGTGCAAGGGTAGACACCTCTGGCTCATTAAAATATGTTAAAGTCATCAGCCATTTCTACTAGATGTTGCCAGAATGGTTCCCTGGCTAACGGTTGGACAATAAGGGAGGAAGCAAAACTGTTTTTGACCCTAAGATAGATATTTATCTTCAGTGTTCAGGCATGACTAGTATTTCTAATTAGTCTAATAAACTCCCATACTTCCTGAAGTGAACACTAATGGTATTATCCTACTAAGACTTTCATTGTTTGTTTTGGTTTTTTAACTGGTCATTCACAATAGGCTGTAAGGCTAAGTATGTAACATGTAAATCGTAGTTGCAAGGACCATGAAGGTTGAGTTTCACTTATGTTCTACCAGACACATCTCATTTGACTTTATGGTTGACTTAACTGGCACCATGCCTGTTGTTTGATATAATTATTTATGTAAAATAAAATGCCTTATATTATTAAAAATTAAGTGCAATAATATGAAATAGCCTGTACATTTTTAAATGTTGCCAAGTTATGTAAACCCACATCTCTGTAAACAACTTTTTTAAGTAATTTAAAAAAAATAAACACTCTGCTTATTACTTGTTTTTCTAGTTCTGCAACTACAGAATAACTTACCAAGGTAGTAAATGTTTATTTTTACCCAAATGGGTGAAAGGTACAAAGGCAACAGAACTCAAGTCAACCACTCTTTCCTACAACCACACTCAGAATCTCACACAATCCAAACTGTTCTACCTCTGAAATTTTAAATCAAATATCCACACTTTCACCTCTTGACCTTCCAGATTGCACTACCTTTCTTCCCCCTACTGCCTCTTGTCTTCAATTTCAACAAGCCCTGTCACTTTTTCTTCCCATCAGAGCCTGGTCTTCATTCTCAGATCTATTCAGACTACACCCCATGGTGAGCACAACAATCCCCATCCAGCCCACAGGCTCAGCTCCCTTGCCCCAACAAAATCCCACTTCTTGGTTCTTATATACCATTTCCTGGAGAAAATACCACAATCACTCAAAATAATGCTGCTATAAACTCAAGATTTCCAACCTCAACTGGACTCTTATTGCTACTGGCAGAAGTTTCCTTGTCAGTTTTTTCTCTCATTCTTCACAATTACCAAGTTCTTTTTCTCAAAACCCTGACCCATTATTATACCCGTTTAAGTCAGGAATATACTCAGAAAAGATGTTCACTAAGTTGAACAACAATGCTACATTTTTAAAAAAGCTATAAATAGTGGAAAGAAACAAATGTATCAATTTGTACATGTAAAGTCAAACACATCAATGTAAAAATGATTAAAATATTATAATTTAGTAAGGTGGCTATCAAAAAGTATTCACCAAAACAAGAGCTTACCTAAATAACCAACAGAACATATGGAAAAATATATTTAACCTTAGTTGGCCAGGACTGGCAAACCTAAACACAAACATTCTATTAAGAGACATTAAAAAAGGTTTTAAACTCGAACAAATGGGAGATACAGCTTATTCGTGAATAGAATAACTCAATACTACTAGTATAAAGATTTCAATTCTCCCCAGAATAGTCTATAAATATAATGTAAGTCCAACCATACCTCAGAAGAATTTTTTAACCTGACAAAATTATTCTAAGTTCCATTTGGTAGGATAAACATGTAAAATAGCCAGAATAATTTTGAAAGCATTGTAGGAGGGAGATAGCACTATTACAACATTATCAGAAACTACTATAATTAAAATAGTGCTCTTCTTCCATGCAAACCACCAGAAAAAGAGCCAAATACATGTATATATAGTATTTCTAAATTAAAAGAAAATTCAAAGGTAACATTCTAAATTGATGGCAGAAAACGTAAGATTATTCAATAGCTTGTTTTGGAGAAATTAACTATTTGGGGGTAGGTGGGTGTGAAAGCTGGATCATTACAACCAAATATATCCCTGACAACCAAATAAAATTGCAGAGTAGTCAGTTTTAAAAGCAAGAAAGGAAAACAAATCTAAACAGCCAAATTCAATGCTTTAATCATAAAGTGAGTATGATCAATTAAGAAGCTATAAAGCCACAGACTCATTTTTTAAACAAACTTCTAGGCACTATTCCAGCAGATTTAGGCAAGATAGCAGTACAATGACCTAGCTTTTTAATCTCCATCCCACCCATTCCCTACTAACACCACACAAATACAGAGAGCAACTAGTATTGGAAAACTTCGGTAAACATCTGTAACAGAACTCATTGTGAAAGTAACCCCAAGGTCACCAAAATGTAAAAGTGGGTGGGAACAAACTACCAAAAAGACAAATTTCATATCAGATCTGTGCAAGGCCAAGTAGAAGGAAGCAACAGGGCATCTTAGAGCCCTGAGACACCCCAACTCCCCATCCCATAATCAACAGGAATTCTGAGGAGCAACTGGGCAGCAGCTGAAACTGGAATTTTTCAACTAGTGAAAAAATATGAGCAAGTGTGTGAGGTCCCTGATGAAGGTAGAGAGGACTGATGCATGTTATGCACACTCAAAATCAACCTGCCAGTTCCTCAGACTAAGGAGAAACTATAGGAACAGAATCCAAATTGAGCAGGACAAGAACAGAGGTCCAGATGAACAAGGCCCAGATAAGGGGGTCAGAGTCAGATCTCAGAAAGTAAACTGCTATATTTTTTTACACTAGACCAGAAGAGAGAGGTCAGAGAATAAGTACAGTTAGAAAAACTACCCTGACCCACTTGTCCTTTCTAACAGAACAGGAAAGGTAATTCCATGTACAAATGGGCAACAGAAGATAATCTAGGTCAAATCCCACACAAAGAAAAAAAGAATAAGGAGCAAATACACCCCTATGACAACAAAACACATCAGAGACATGCTAGGAGACAAATGATAACTATAACAATAGTTCAACATGAATTAAAATACATCAAGAAAATGACCGAAAAATATGAATAATATTAACAAAAATTAGAAAATGTCTTAAAATTGGGCATTAAAATTCAAGGGAAGAACTTAGAAAAGATTAAATTAAAAAGATTATTCACAGTGACTAACAATAATTTCTGAAATATATTATAGTGGCAACCATACTTTGATAAAAACTGCAGTTTGAATTTTAACCCTTCTAGTTTGGCTCTTGCACCTGATTAAACATGGGGGTGGAGGGGAGAGACTATTTACCTTAGCTTTCAGGCGGAGACTTGGAGGCTAAGGCAATTTTCCCTTGCCTAGGACCAGGACCACAGATTAATTCCCACTAACTCAGTAACCTTCAGAGATAGAAACTGTAGATAACCTCTGAGCTCTGCTTCTGTGTTATTAGCTATCGCAAGACAGGGCCACATTCCAATGTCCAACAGGATGTGACTAGCAACTACCCTGCAGGCTGACCCGTCTTTAGAATGTAGTCTTTAGGATTTAGAATTTAGAACAAAGGAAAATTCCTGTGGTTTGAACCTTTAAAAGGGGCTGCCTACCCCTGAAACGGTGCAGTTGTGTGGAGACCAGCTGCCTGTGGTGCTCTCGCGTCTGTCCTGGCCAGATATTTCAATACATCTTTGCCTGTTTTTAATTAATCATCAGCCTCCAGTGGTCTTATTTCGAACCCAGGATTCGACCCCACAACAATTTCTTAAAATCAAAAGGGTGAAATGTTTAAAGATCAGTGATAAAAGAAACCAAGCAAAACTGACAAATAACGAAGATATACAATAGCAGTCCCCAAAGAAGAACACCTAATCAAGGGAACAGAACAAACACTGAAAGCTTCAATTTTCCTGAAATTGAGGATAAAAAGACTTGACATGGACACTACATACTGAAAGAACACCGTGCTATTCCAGGACAACCCAGACCAGACACACTGTAGTAGCACTGGGGGGAAATTGGGGAAGAAATCCCGTGGGCTTCAAGCAAAAAGAATAGGCATTTATGGGGAGAAGAAAATCATTTCTGAACCAGATTGTTGACAGTATGCCTTATGCCAAAAAGAAAATATGATACTTTAAGAAAAAGACTGTGACCCAAGAATTTTATCCAGACAAACTGACTTTCAAATAAAGGCTGCAGATACACTGTCGTCATCATACAGAAACGCATGGAGTGTTTGCTCACAAGCCCTTTCTGAAGAAACAAACAAATGAGCAAAGTTGGAAGTTGCCCATTGCCTTCAGGAGTCCAGAAGGCTGGTCAACCTTGAGGCTCTGGCAAGGGTCAGAGCCAGGCACCCACTGTCTACTTGAGACACAGGGAGCTGAAGAAACTTCCACCTTAAGTCTTCTGTCAATCCTAGCTGATGGCCTACCATCCAGCTGTTAGTGGAAATTGCCTAAGGGCTATAGGTGGATCCCAAATCTGAATAAAAGGGATCACAAGGCCAGAGCAAAGCGGTGTCCTTCCTCTTGGCCCCCAATATTCCCAAGTTTATATTTTCTTGTCTGGTCTCTTTCATTTGTGTGCAGCCTCCTTTAGAACCTGAACCCTGAACCATGCGGGACGTGGGGGGGGGGAAGGGGGGGGGAGAACGACACTTGCAGAGCAAGACAACCAAAATGACTGGAGTGTTTCCCAAACTTCTGACATATGTGTACCCCTTCTATAATTTTCATAACGCTGAGAACGTAGAATTAGGCGCAGCTAAGCACGGTGCAGTGCATATCCCCACCAAACTCCAGTGCAACACGTACCCCCCACACACCAAACTCTTCCCGTACCCCTGGGGGTACGCGTACCACACTGATATAGAAATGACGGTGAGCATTGAGTATGTGTTTATTTAAAAAGTTAAGATTAAGGTAAGTTAAAGGGAGAAACTCTGTTGTAAAAAGTGTTCTTATAATGCAATACAACATAATTACAAAAAGTGGCAGCACTGAATTATACACTAAAAAATGGTTGAAATGGTAAGTTTTATGTATATTGTACCACAATTAAAAGGTGAGGAGCCCTAGCCAGTTTGGCTGAGTGCTGAACTTGGCCTTTGAACTGAAGGGTCCCAGGTTCGATTCGGGTTAAGGGCACATACCTTGGTTGCATGCTTAACTGCTGACCCTAGTAGGGGCACATGTGGGAGGCAACCAATCAATATGTCTCTCTCACATCAATGGTTTTCTCTCTCGGTCTCTCCTCCTCCCTTCCATGCTCTCTAAAAAAAACACAATGGATGCCTGATTGGTGTGGCTTAGTGGATGAGCACTGACCAGGAGGTCACAGTTTAATTCCCAATCAGGGCACATGCCCAGGTTGCAGGCTTGATGCCCAGGGGGCTTGCAGGAGGCAGCCAATTGATGATTCTCATCATTGATGTTTCTCTCTCTTCCTCTTTGAAATAAAATTATATTAAAAGGGGGTGGGGGAATACCTCTTAAGTTTACATTGATACTTTCTTTTCTTTTTAAATTTTTTTTTATTGATTTAGAGAGGAAGGGAGAGGGAGACAGAAATTATCAATGATGAGATAATCATTGATTGGCTGCCTCCAGCACATCCCCTATTAGAGATCAAGCTTGTAACCTGGGCATGTACCCTTGACTGGAATCAAACTGGCACCACTCAGTCCACAGGCTGATGCTCTACCTACTGAGCAAGACAAGATAAGGCTACATTGATACTTTCTATTCAAATTTAGAACTACAAGATTTTTCTATCTTCTATCTTAAAGCTGTATCTTCATTTTTCCATATAGAGAATCCTGGTTCTCATAAAGAAAACTGATGGAAAAAAAACCCCACAATGTTTATTTCAATAAGTCATAATACTTAAAAAACCAAATCAGTAACCTTTGGAAACCACTGAGGAATCAACTTGATTTTGAAAATTGGTAAATAAAATGTAGAATGTATCCTACCTTTCCTCTACAAACTACTAAAAGGTAATAAAGGTAAGGTGAAGTTTCTCTTTATAGAAAAACTTCAGCTCATGAAGAAATGATAAGAATTAAACCATCACCAGTTAGCAACCCCAGTAAACACAGGACCTAGTAAGGACTGGACAGAAAGTCTGCTAACATCATAAAAGTAGAAATATTATACATTTCCTGATAAAACACACATCACCGATGAAACTATGTTGCCTAACAAACAAACCTGAATCTGACAAAGCCTCTAGATCTAATTATCAATTCTTGGGAAGTAGAAAAGTCAGAGAGATACATTAGATTACTTGTAGATGCAATCAGGAAAATCCAGACTTTGGGAAACTCTCAGGACAGTGATTCAATTTCATCAATGAATACTTTATAAGGGAAAAAAACAAGATGATGTGGGAGGGGAGGAGTAAGGGGACAAAGGTGAGGGGTGGGACCTATAAATTAGGATAAATTCAAAATCACCAAGTGAAAAACGAAACTAAACAGAATAAAATTATTAGAGATGCACACTGGCTGGGACCAGATTATAACTGGAAGGAAGTCTTGAGCAATTTCTGGATAAGTTGACAAGTTCTAGCTTCTGAGCTGAGTGATAGCTGAAAACATATTTGCCTTAAAATAATTCATTAGCCTACAATTTGTTTATATGATCTTCCATTGTATTTTAATCATAAAAACTATGAATGCTTATATGCACATGTATTCATAAGTTATATAATACATGTTTATGTGATTTTTAAAAAAATATAGTTTATTGATTTTTCACAGAGAGGAAGGGAAAGGGATAGAGAGCTAGAAACATCAATAAGAAAGATACATCGACCAGCTTACCTCATGCACAACCCCCATCGGGGATGTGCCCGCAACCAATGTACATGTCCTTGACCAGAATCAAACCTGGGACCTTTCAGTCCACAGACCAACGCTCTATCCACTGAGCCAAACCGGTTACAGCTGTTTATGTGATTTTTATACTTGTTGTTGTATTTAATCATACCTCCCCAAAACTTTATAGTATATACATATCCTAAACCCGAATACTAAGCAGATGTCATTAGCAGGATAATTAAGGTCTCCACAGATTCCATGCTGAACAGTGCACCTTACACTTTACTGAATGTTAAAAAAAAAACGAAAAAAAAACTTAAACACCAATTCCAAAGGCTGGAGAAACAAACAGTACCACAGGGTTAATAGCCATAATATAGTAAAAGTCCTGATGAATCAATACTTAAAAAGATGCCCATTAGAACAATGGATAAAGAACACAAACAGGTTAAGTCAGAGAGAAAAATACAAACTATCTTTAAAAGTTTTATAAATAAAGACAGTAAATAACCAACACCCCAATAACTAAAACAAGTTGACAATTATCCATTAACTTGGCCAGGATGTAGGGAAATCAGCATTCATATTACTGGTGCACGTGTATGTTAACATCAATCTTATAAATCAATTTTGCTTTACCTTTTATATTTTTCAGACATGCCGTTCAAGTAAACTCATGTCTATTAATTCCTCCTACAGAAGTCAGACAAATATAAAGACATATGTACATTAAAATACTGTTGGCAATAATGAAAAAACATGAGATTAATCCAAATGTCCATTAATGGAGATTTATCTAAGTTATAAAATGAAGCCAAAAATGATTAAAAAGAATGATGTGTGTTTATTCTGAAAGCTCTCCACAATATAAGAAAAATAAATTGCACAACAGTATATGATGATGCTACTGGAAAAATTGCACAACAATAGTCTATCAGAAGTAAACACCCATGTAATTCTAGTATTGGGCTGAGAAAGTATACATATCAACATTTAACCATGTTACCATCCACACCCCTTCAAAGGATAGCCTGCAAGTTTATGAATATTAATACTACCTTACTGGTACTATTAAAGAATATATGACATTTGTGCAGAACTTACAAGAGCCAGGTATATTATTCTGGAACCTGATGGGCTGTGATGAATTGGAATTTACCTTAGACTGTCAGTCATCTTGACCTGAAAGAAAGTGAAATGGAACGTTATCTGACAATATATAATAACTGCATACAAGATGGAGAGTTACATTGAATTTCATAAAATAAATACCTCACCGACTTGTGACTGGTGGTTTCCATGCTCCTGGGGCAATAGTCGTCATGCAGGGATGTCATTACTTATTGGCCCAACCATCAAGACATCAGCCTCTCTCTTTCCTTTGGGTATGACCAAATTCAAAGGTTTGTTATACTGGAAAAGAATATTATACCCATCTATTCACAAACAATGGGAAGAACTGAGTGATGGAATGTGTTGAGAGACCACTGGGCAATCCTGCTTCAGGCAATCCAAGGACTTTCTTGGCCATTTGACACCTGGCAATGCTTTTTTTCTCTTAAGAACATATAGGATTATTCAACTTTTTCATCCCCCCCCAAAATAGTGTGTTATACCAAGATATAGTAATAAAGCAGAGATGTCCCTTTATCATTGTAGTTTGCATAAGTGTGAGAACTTTTTGCATGCATGCTATTGTTTTTTGTCTGTTAGAAAAAAAGAAGCCCTCGCCGAAACCGGTTTGTCAGCCTGCGGACTGAAAGGTCCCAGGTTCGATTCTGGTCAAGGGCATGTACTTTGGTTGTGGGCACATCCCCAGTAGGGGGTGTGCAAGAGACAGCTGATGATTCTCATCAATGTTTCTAACTCTCTATCACTCTCTCTTCCTCTCTGTAAAAAAATCAATAAAATATATATTTTTTAAAAAAGAAAAAGAAAAAAAAAGCCCTCTCCTAGTGCCCAAATAAGAAAGGATAAACTATAGTGGAATGCTATTACTATCATTCAATCATTTGAGGACTTAAAGCTAAAATACTTACCAGATCGTGTAAGATTGGGAATATCATCCTCTCTAGGCCTGTTCTTCAATAAATGAAGGTAGTTCTTAGGGTTTGGGGAGGTCAAAACGATATATAAAATATTTAGTAGGCACAAAATGTGTATTCAGTAAGTTTCCTTTCTCCCTTTGGTAAGATTTTTCCAGATCTGATTATTTTAAGGAATACATCTCAATTCAACAATATATGAAATTAAAACAAAACACAGCAACTAATTCTTTGCACATTAGACCTTTCTACACGTTTTCTATTAAAATTCATTTTAATGATTTTTGGATCTGAAGGCTTTTTAAAAAGTGGCATAAGTACTGCTTCTACCACACTGAGTAATTTATTCCCATGGAGCCACGCCATTCGTGCTGTACAGAGGACTGTGAGCAGCAGCATTTTACAGGAGAAAGGAGTTGTAGATATAAGCTTGCCCTCCAGGTAGTACTATGTTTTCTCTCTGAATACAGAAACAGGTGCTGAAGTTGGGGCCACACACAGGTAGAGCTGGTATGTACTCTGCTGGGAGGACACATTGGCAGAAGTTCAGGCAGGCCTTTCCCTTGCCTGAGATGGAGTTTATTTTAATGGACAGAAAATCTGTCTTTTCTCATCTCTTAAAATAAGGACTGGAAACTACTGCCCATGGCCAGCTGCCAGTTTCTGTAACTAAGAATTTATTAGAACACAGCCCGGCCCATTTATTTACATTATCTATGGCAACCTTCACTCAGCAGAATTGGGTAGTTGCAATAGCCACCATATGTAGCCTAAAGCCTAAAATATTTACTATCTGACCTTGGAATAAAACACCTACTACTCCAGCTGGGTGGTTCAGTTGGTTGGAATGTTATTTTCTACATCAAAAAAGCTACAGGTTTGATTCCTGGTCAGAGCACACCTAGGTTGTTGGTACAATCCCCAGTTGGGATGTATAGGAGGAGGCAACTAATTGATGTTCCTTCCTTCCTTCCTTCCTTCCTTCCTTCCTTCCTTCCTTCCTTCCTTCCTCCCTCCCTCCCTCCCTCCCTCCCTCCCTCCCTCCTTCTCTCTCTCTCTCTCTCTCTCTCTCTCTCTCTCCCCCTTCCTTCCTTCTCTCTCTCCCTCTCTCTCTCTCTCTCTCTCTCTCTCCTTCCTTCCTTCCTTCTCTTTCTCTTTCTCTCTCTCTCTCTCTCTCTCTCTATCCCCCCCCCCTTCCTATTTCTCCCTCCCTCTCTCTAAAATGAATAAAAACATATCCTCAGGTGAGAATTAGAGGGCAAAAAAATGGCTCACCAACCACTGCATTAAAATATTACCACATACTGCCCTAATCGAATACCAGGTTTGATTCCGGTCAAGGGCATGTACCTTGGTTGCGGGCACATCCCCTGGGGTGCGTGTGTGTGTGTGTGTGTGTGTGTGTGTGTGCGCAAGAGGCTGCTGATGGATGTTTCTCTCTCATCAGTGTTTCTGATTCTCTCTCTCCCTTCCTCTCTGTAAAAAAGCAATGATATACATTTTAAAAATAAAATAAAATACTACCACACTATACTAAGGCTCAGTAAAACTTCCTTAGAAAGTAAACAAAGGTAAAATACAAAAGTACAAATGACATGCTTGCTCTGATTCAGGCACTTTCAAGTTCATAGTTTTATTTATTTCATCAGATAAAAAGACAGTATACATAATAGGGGATCCATCTAGTAGTTTTGCATTGAATGTTAACCAGAAAAACTCTATACACCTGAAAGCCTCACTATTAACATGAACTATGGTAATAAAAAATTTTGACATTTAATTTGTTCAATATATAGTATTTACATTATGAAACCAATAGTGATATTATCGATAAACAGTGATAAAGAAATAGTAAAAAGCAAAGGTTTATATTTTTTATAATGTGCTAACTGTCATAATTGTACATAAAAATTAAAACATAGCAGAGCTTTCTGTTATAAAATTCTTAATCATCTGAACTGTAGTCATTACTGGACAACAATTTACATGCAACATCTGCTATAAATGACATTTGATTTTTTTTGTGTGTGAGAAATTGTGAGTAGATAAATGGCATTTAAGAGCAAACATTAATTTACTTGTGGTCAAAAAACAAAAAAACTGTACTCAAGATTAGTACTGGACACAAGCCACTTCCATATAGAAATGATAAAAACAGTAAGACAAAAATATTTGCAAAAAGGAGATGCACAGCTGATGAGTGCCATGAATAGCATAGCTCAAAAAATCTTAGGACCAGACACACATCTTTTCTCTCTCCTTCAATGATGAAAGGTCTATTTCGTCATCAAATAATAGTAACTGAAACAAGTGAGGGCACCAGGTGTACAACGAATTAAATCTTGCAAAATACTAAGATGGAGGCAGGTGAGGCCAGAAGAAGGGACAATTTATATATGTAATTCAAACTATATACAGCATAACTGGAATGCAGTTCATCCCAAACTGGCTTTGTGAAACAGTTGGACCATTACGATTTAATAGTTAAAATTATAACAAATGGTATAATAGATTTTTATGGGACACAAAATCAAAGGGGCATTTTATATTATTTACTGTGTTGTTTCAATTTAAAAATAACTTTATAAGTATACATCTCAACTGAGGTCTAGTATAAAACGTCCTAATAGACACAGATATTTACCTTTGGTGAGATAAAGGCCTTTTTGTGATTTGTCTGAATTGTAGGCAGAATGGGAGATGTACATGCACATAGGGAAAAACTCAAACTGAGGTAATCCGAAGGTCTGCATGTGAGGAGACTGAGGTTACTTTCAAAGTCAAAGTATACCAGAAATCCAAAACAGGTTAACTGTGAGAATGGCAACAGAAAGAATGGAATGCCAATATGGCAGTAAAACTTTTTTTTAAAACAGAAAGAGGAAGGCCTCTCGTACCAGTAGAATCCTGCATACATATTTAAAAAAAGAAGAAGAAAAAAAGCCACCTACCATTTCATAAAACAAAAGCCAATTATAGTGTGGGAAAGTATAAATTGCAGAAAACCAGAAGTCAATAGAAGAAAAACGACTGGTTTACTTGAGAGGGAAGAGAAGGCTTCCCCCTGGGCAGTTACTTGGTGAAGGCCGCCACCACCGCCCACAGGACCTCATTGGCGTTGGTCTTCACGCATTCCACCTCAGGATCCAAGTCGAGGAGCTGCCGCACTCTCTTGGTAGCTAAATCATACTGCTCATCCAGCAGGGGAGCGAAGGCATTCTCCAGCACATCCGAGGCGTGGGCAAGGTAAATGAGGGCCAGCAGGCGCTTGTCCATGCGGTGAGGGTCATTCACCCACTTGTCAAGAACAGATTCCTGTACCTTCTTAATGAGGCGCTGCTTAATGTTGTTGTTGGTGAGGGGATGTGTGGTCATGTCAAAAAGTAGGAAGTTCTGTTTCTCTGTTGTCAATACGCCCTTTTCTACCAGGTTTTTAGCTAATCGTTCCCGTACATTCCTTAATTGATAATGCAATTTTAATGGATTCCATGTTTCACCTAAACAAAATATTTCAGAAGTTAGAAATGATAGGTATTGGATTCCAGTCAAGATAGAAGAGTAGGTAAATGCTGTGCTTACTTCCTCCCATTACTACCTTAAATTACAACTAAATTATGAAACAAACATCATTGAGAACCACCTTAAGACTAGCTGAACATAAATGCTATAACTAAGGAGATAAAGAAGAAGCCACAAAGGGACTGATAGGAGAGGCAGAGACATGGAAGGAGCTGGTTCCACACCCATGAGGTGGCAATTAAGAATCAGAGGAACACCGAAGCTGTGGAGGACTCACCTAGAAGTAAGGGCCCAGGCCCCACCACGGGCTCCCCACTCCCAGACACCAGTGCTGGCAAGAGGAGTCCCCTAACATCTGGCTGTGAAAACCAACAGGGACAGCATCCAAGTGAGAATAAGGGCTGCTAGAGTCCCAGGCACTCCTCTTGAGAGGCTGCACACAGTCACACTAGCTCACAAACTAACTCACATGGCTCCAGTGTAGGAGCAGCAGCTAGAAAAGTACCAAGGATATACAGGGAAAAACTAAACTGACTACTAGCTTCAGGGAAAGTGCTGGAAGAGCAGGGTTTGGGACAGCTCTCTCGCAGGGACAGAAGTGCTGGCAGATACCATTGGTCCTTTGTTGAGCCCTCTCCCAATCCAGCCAGCCAGTTCAGAAATATGTGGACACCAAATGAGAGCTCTCCATTAACCTGGCCAATATCACTGTCCTGCCCTAATAATTCCCTGGCACTCCACACCATCCAATAGCCTACATGTCCACAAACCCCAAACAAGCAGTGGCTGTCCATGGTGTGCACTGTACCTCTAGCTAAGCTACCTCAAGTCTGGTATAAGTAGTAATAGGTTTGAATTTGTATTGTAACTACCTTCAAGTAGCCCTAGCCTTGGGATACACATTGGCTAGTCTGGGCTTGAAACAGCCTCAACAAGCAGCCATAAACCCCACACAATATGCAGCCTTGGTTTGCAGAATAGCTACTCCCAAGCAGTTCTAAGCCCAGCACAAGCAGCAACCAACTGCAGATAATTTCATAGCTACACCAGACAACAGCCACAAACTGGGCACAATCAGTGAAACTAGACCATATATAGAAAATATAGGCAGTAAGTCCTGACATCACTCTCAGTAACATTTATTTGGAAATGTCT